ATGGATGGAAGATCAAGTTACGCAAAGTTCTTGTGGCGACTACAAAGACAGCCCGCCAAGGTCTGACGCGCAGCTACAGACAGCGGCTGAAGCGCCTCTATGTCCGTCTGGATGCGGCGCTATTGGAGGCGCGCTCGTCAGCTACCTCAATAGCGTGTGCTCAAACGATATGCGACCAACCCAGCCCCGTCGATAATCCTGCGGAACTTCGTCGAAACGTTGCGGAGTGTCGACGATTATGGCAGAGAACCAAGAAAGAGCGACTTCTTGTCCAGCACACATACTCTCCAGGCGAGACTTCTCGTCGTTTCTTCGCGCGGGTGTCGACAAAATTTCAGGACAACACTATCGTTTCTTTGGGTGGACAAGCTACATACGGGTCGAATCGGTCGCAGGAATTGGCAAATGAAATGGCAGACGGCTGGGAGCATCTTATGACTCAATTTTTTGATTGTCCAGATGCTACCGCTGCATTTCTGGAACGAGCCTCCACACCGGTCCGGGTTGATGACTCTATAGTGACGTCAGCTATATCTCCTGAAGATGTGTGTGCGGCTTTAAAGAGACTTCAACGTGGGAAAGCCGCAGGACCAGATGAAATCAACAACACCTTTTACCGTGATTATGCTGACGCGCTCGTGCCAATTCTCGCAGCACTGTACACTAGATGGATGGAGTGCAGCGTGTTTCCGACGTCTTTTGGTGAAGCGAACATTCAGTGTCTGAAGAAAACCGCGGCTTCCGCCTTGCCTCTTGATCATCGGCCGATCGCGCTTCTCAACAGTGACTACAAGTTATTTACAAAGATCCTTTCGTTTCGAGTTCGGCCGATGCTGTCGCATATTGTTCTGCCAGCTCAAGTTGGTTTTGTCCCGAAGCGGTCGATCCATACAGCTCTTGACATTTTTTCGGCGGTTCGCAAAGCGGCGAGTGCTGACAGCGATCTACACGGATCCATTGTTCTTCTTCTCGATTTCGCCAAGGCATACGACACGTTGCAACGTCCGTTTCTACTTTCGGCGTTGACTTGGCATGGCTTCTCGCCAAAATTCGTAGCAGTCGTGGCGGCATTACACCGAAACACGACATGTCGATTATTGTGAATGGGTACCGTTCAAGCAGACGTGACGTTCACTGCGGCATACGGCAAGGGTGCCCTCTTGCTCCTCTTCTGTTTATACTCGCCTTGGATAGTGTCTATCGAGTGATTCAAGAGAGGGATGAAATCCGCGGGATACCTCTTACTTCTGGGGGGAGAACCACTGACATTAAAATTTCGGGATACGCTGACGACACGGCGGTTTATCTTCGCGATCGGTCTGCGGTTTTGCCTGTTATTACGATACTCGAAGACTTTGCAGCTGTTTCCGGTCTGCTGACGAATCGAGCGAAGTCTATTATCATTGAGCTTGACCCTCGCGGATCATCTTTGCCCTTGGACGCGTGTGGCCTCAATGTACAGTCTTCAAGCGGATCATGCAGGTATCTTGGTGTACTTGTTGGCCAACAGGATGCGGTAGCTGACAACTGGTGTAAATGCATACGATCTCTATGGTGTCGACTTGCACTAGCACGAGAGAAGACTCATACGGTGGAACAACGAGCTCGCATCGCCAGCGCCATCGCGGTGCCCAAAATTACCTACTTAGCACGGCACTGCTGGCCACCTCCCGCCATGATTAATAGATTGGAGGGCTTCATTATGGACTTTGTATGGAGCGTCCATGATGGCAAGAGGTCCCGACCGTGGGTCCCTTCAGAGATGGCTTCACTACCGATACAGCAAGGTGGGCTATCGGTGCCGTGTATTCGTACGGAATTAATGACTATGGCGGCAACCGCTGTTGGACAGTGGGCAGCTACAGCTTCTTCGAGAGATTTACTGATCGGAGACTTTCTATGGGGCTCTACTGATTCGGGTCCGGCTTACATCACGCCATGTTGGACCCAAGACCAGGAGCCTCGACTCCAAGTGACGCTATGGTTAACCGGTTCTAAAATTGTTGGGCTTTCAGCTGCTCGACATGCCCGCCAAGGAGAGGTCCAGGAGGTCTGCCGAAGGGCCGCCTCTTTTACATCAAGAGCCTTAATCGACTATAATGGAGACGGTAGTGTCACAATTGATGTCCGCCGTATACTTGATGACAAGTTGCGGGCCGGGATGAGAGCTGAAGTAGCGACATCAGGTCGTTTTGAACCCAGATGGATCGTACACGCAACGCTGACGGACATGTCGTGGCTGAGGGATCGCAGAGGCAAGGCTTATACTTTGAATGGAGCGGATTTTGCGAGGGGACACAAGTACCTTGGCGACATATTCACCTGGAAGACGACTCAGAGTGGTATCGTCCGATTTTCGCCCAAGCGTGACATGGCTACCCACTCTATGGCGAAGCGTCGGCATTTTGGGAACTTCTGCCTTGCCCTTCTATACAATTTTCCAGCACTCGTATACAGGTCGTTTGAATCGGGGGCATTGTTGGCGTACTCGACAAAGGTCCACCAATATCATACTTGGCTCCTCGACCGAGACGGTACATCGGTATCGCACTTCGACACGGGTATAGCGGGTGGGGTGGCTACAGTCTCATCTATGGCTGCTTGCGATACCGCAGCGTGTCTGGACAGTGGAATTACTGTCCACTTTGGTGCGCATCCAACGCTTACGCGTGTTGTACACCTATGGGCTGGCCGTCGAAGATGGAGGCCGCAACGACGAAAATTCAAAAAGATCATTTCCCGCAGGCGAAGTGATGAGGGCAAACGCATTTGCGACGAACGCGTGAAGAAGCCGGACTTCCAAGTGATTGCAGCAGGTACATCTCTGATCGAGTGGAGAGACATCCGTAAAATACGGGCTTCTTTCCCGACCAGCGCAGACGCTTTATCGTCTGAAGAGTAACAGCTTCCCGCTATGGAATTGGGCTAACCAAGATCTATCTTGCCCCGACCCAGCGTGTCCGACATCCTTACTGGCCATGGCTAGTCATGTATTCTGGAATTGCCCTAGCGCTCGGCGTCATTGGGGTTATCTACTTGAACGGTGGCGAAAGCTAGGCGATTTGGAGGAGGCGGACCTTCACGTCTGGGTGTTTGGCATGGACCTTCCGAGTATTCCGAGTTCTGCATGGAATGCCATCAAAAACGCTATCGAACCCAGTGTAGATTTGTCTCGAGCGAAGGACGCCGTTTTTCCAGCAACGCGTGAGCTCTGGCGTTTTCTCGTTTCTACGACACTACATTCCATCTGGGCTGAGCGTCTCCGCCGCTTGGAAGACTCACTTTTGCCACAGGAAGTACACGACGCAAGAGCAAGGACACAATTTCGACGAGCGGTTACACGGTTTCGAAGTTCAACATATCAGTCGGACATGGGGGTAGACGGATACCTATTCGCACGAGTACGGTCGGCGCTTGCTGATATCCTCATCGGCTTTGACAATCCTCCACCCTTGCGAGCGCTGCCGCTTGACACTCTATCTGGGGTTTTCTACCTGCTCTTCTTCGACGGGGGGTCAAGAGGAAATCCTGGACCGGGCGGAGCAGGTTCCGTCATTGTCCAACTTCACATTCAGACGCACGCAGCATGCGTCGTGTGGGTATCGAGCATGGCTTACGGTTCTGCAAATACCACGAACAATGTCGCTGAATACTGGGGGCTCGTGCACGGGCTTCGACAAGCGAAGGTTAGCGGCTACTCACCTCTCCATGTCGTGGGGGACAGTGCGCTCGTGCTTTCGCAGCTTCGGACGCACCATCCTCCACGCAAGCCACACCTGGCCCTTCTTTTCCGAGAGGCAAGAGCACTTGCTGACGATATCGATGTCTCCAGCTGGGGACATCACTATCGCTCATACAACAAAATGGCGGATCGACTGGCGAATATCGCTATGGACACTGGAGCCTCAATTCAAGTGCACGCTTCCGCTGAGGAAGGTGTTGTCAAGGAGGCTTCGGCATTCCTTGACCATGATGTCAACCACTGGCTGGAGGCCTCTCAAGCCGACAACTACGAACCTCAGGGACCCGCTATGACGCCACGGAACCTGATCATCTCGAGACAAGACTCTGCGCGACGACGCTCGGCTGTCCGAGGACTAGTTATACCTAGTATTTAAAGTAGAAGTCGCCACGGTAACTCTGTTACCTGTCGACAGGATATAATGGGTCGTACGCGTACTTAAATATACCTCACCTTCTCACTCTCTAATTGCTCGCTTACACGAGTTTTTTATTAAAGAAGTCGTAGAAAAAGCATCTTAGCTCCGTTTAATAATATACGTAGCATCACTTCTACACGTTGAAACAAGGTTAACAACTACAGAAGTTTAAGTGATATCGAGACATTTGAAGTCCTGTGCACTCGCATTGACTGCTACTGCAAAGTAAGAGATGATTGCTATCAAGTGCAGCATTAGAAATAAAACGCTTACGGACGTATTTTTTCCATTTATCGATCTTTCTCTCTCGTGGCTCTGTTTGAAAAAGCTGAGAGACTCGTAATTGAATGCTTGCACCACAGGTTGCTTGGTAATAATTGGCCACATCATGACCATAGTTATTGTGTCTCTGCTAACAACGATACTAGTGTTGTTCACATGGTGGAGGAAGAGCGTGCCGGTACAGCGGGTTTAATAAGTGTATAGTAGATAAGTTACATAACTCATTCATGCTTTACTCGCAAGTGGATATGTGTTGCTGAAGCTAATAATTGGACAGCACTGAATTATTCGCTTATTATCTAGAAATAGACGGAATTTTTTTTCTAATGTTTAATTACAGTAAACATGAAGTGACTCGTCGTCTTATCGGGTCGTATCTACGCTTTTTAATTGGTCAGTATAGCTGCGGGAAGGTCTTTCTAGCTCCTATTTATGTACATTGTGTTTTCACTAGTCTGCATAAACATCCCTGACTATGTACGCGACTTACCACCGAATTGACGTTACACCTACGCTTTTCTAATTGTGTATCACTCCAAAATTAGCCGCTCGTCCGACATGACATCGCATGCTCGTTCTCCTTTGTCCCCGGACGTGATTGCCGAGGCAAATGCGGCGGCGGCGGCAACTTTAGCACGACCTGCGTCAGCGAGTTTTGAATCGAACGCGCCGCTGAACGCGACCAGGTGTTTTTTGGAAGTTCAGGAAAACTCCGAGCTTGAAGAAACGTGGAGTGAACGCAGCAATCCGAGCGTGAGCAGCTACAATAGCAGCACGCGTGAGATGCACCATCGCTCGATTGCTAGTGCCTTCTTCGGACCCATTTCGACTGCTACAGAGGCGGTTGAGGAGACCGACGAAGAACCAGAGAGTCAGTGGAGCACTGGTAACACCATGAGCAGTGACAGAGGTAATGAACGAAGGAGACAAAGATTCAGTGACACAAGTGGAGAAGGAATTGAACTATTACGATGGGTGTTTAGACGGAGAACAGCGTCTGACTCAGCGTTGACTACAGATGAAGTGGAGGGTGGATGGGAGCAGAGACAGAATCAAAAGAGGAGAGTGAGGACGCAGGTGGCGGTGCCTCTTGACCCACCTGATCGAGAAAATGAGACGCTAGAGCAACGGGATCGACGGAGAGAAAACCGATCTTTGTTTGAGGATTTGGTGCATTTGGCCAACACGCACCAACCAGTACAGTTCGACAGATTTAAGCAGAGGAGATCATCTGCAAGAAAAAGCAGGACGAGAAGTCACGGCAATTCACTACGCGCTCAATTGCGGCAATCTGGGTCAGCAAATGCGTATGATGTGGATGTCTTTAGTCCGTCAGGTGACGAAGAAGAAGAAGAAGAAGAGGAGGAGGTCGAAGCCGCATTTAATGACGAGACAATCAACACCGAACTGCTGGAGGCCTATATCGCCTACTCCAAGTCGATAGGGCACGAACCGAATATTCAGCTTAACCCTGTGATGATTCCACTTCAGCCTCGAGATAGTCGCGTCGATAACGATGATGACGTTGAAGACTTTGAACAAGAACAGCACCATACCATTAGGTTGTCGTACATTCATGACCGACCAGTGCTCAAAGAACACGAGAAATTATGGACTGGCATAATGGGAACGAGATTCAGCAAGCGTCGAGGCTGTGTGCAGTTTTGGATGTGGCTGCTTATTGGTGTAGGTGTCCTTCTATGGCTAGGTATCTCTCTGTCTTCACTGCAGCTGAATGAAGTACTGCATCTGGATGCGTTCACGGTTCAAGACGTTCAGGTCACAGAGGATTATGCGTTCCTCCATTTCCTAGAAGAGGTTGATCTCCGTCTCACGTACACCATTGAGACGCCACATCCTGATACTTTGAATGCTAGTGCGAACCCGAACTCGTCATATTTCAATACGCTGCTGCTGAACGAAGACGAGTACGAGCACTACATCGAAGGTGAACCATTTGAGTACATTGAGGCCGGCACCACACTACGCACGACATACGCGTACTTACCGCACACGTACATTGACAACCCAATCAAGGAGACAATGTACTTTGTTTTGCAACCGTGTTACCTTGAGCGCAATCCTACAGCAGACTATTGTCAACCCGGGCAACTTCCAACGAGCGTGTACTCGGATAAAAAGATCTACAGCCTTGAAAAAGAAAAAGTAAAGAACCAGGTCACTTCGGATCACTTTAACGTCACGTACCTGTCAGTGAACCCGATGCCAGTTGCCTGTAGGTCTTCCGGTTGGCTAGGAGGCAGTTACTTGCTACTGTTCTTACCGTATTTGATCATTACGCTCTTCGGACTGCGTATTTTCCAAATGATTCTCCATTGTGAGAGCTGGCAGAAGAACCTCGAACGCATTTATTCGCGTGAACTAGATGTGCCAGAGAATGAAGTTGACTATTGGCAACGGATGCCATGGGACCGAAAGGTGCCGAAAACTAGGCTCTGTGGACCATGCTGTTGGAAAAAGTTTCGACGGCCATTTGAGCCGTTCTACACGTGGTGGCGTCATGAAAACTACTTTACGTGGATCTTTTGCCCCTATCGCAATGAACAACTTTCGCGTGGCGAGCGAACACTGATCATCGTGTGCTCACTCTACATCACTTTCTACGTGCTGTTCATTATTGTGATGCTGCGAGATTCTTGGGGTACGGACATCACGATCTTTACTTCAGTGGTGCTATATGCAATTCTGATCTCGATTCTACCGTCTGCGGGTAAAGCTGTCTTCAAGGAGCTGTTTAAGTTGATCTTTCGTCAACGACGCAAGTACTTTCGGGCAAAGGCAGCTGGCGATGACCTGAAAGGCTTTTCATTCCGGTTGGCGTTCTTGTTGCAGTTTTTAGTGGTCCTACTGCTTACACTGGCGCAGGTTCCGATCTTTTACATTTGGGCTTTTCGTAGTTGTTTGTTCCTGAAGAAGTTCATGTGGTTTGGAGTACTCGCGGCAATCATGCGGATGTCCCTCCTGGGACTTGCTCTAGACTTGGCATGGTATCTGATCATCAAGACATGGGGTTGGAAGGACTTGTGCCCATATTGTACAGAGCGGATTAAACATTGTGACTGCTTTAACGATGAGCTCCTAGTACTTGTCGTTGAACGTGTGGGTGCCAAGTGGGAGCTGATTCGAGTTCTTGATGATCTAATGGCAAAGCGACACCATTACGATTCTCAATTTGAGTTGTACACATCTGAGCAACTTCGTGAACGCTGGGAGGTACTTGTCGAGCGAGCTGAGAGCCACATGGAGAAAATGGAGAAACTCTGTGCGTACCAGGAGAAAAAACGCCTTGACGCTTTGCGCCACGATCGCATTCGTCGCAGTTTGACGAGTTTTCTATCGTTCCATGGCACGACGCAATCGGACCAACCTCGATCTAGAAGACAGAGTGATAGTGGCGATGACGATTTAACGCAGCTTAGATCATCAGGTGTGGGCAGCAATAGTAGCAATACGGAGGCGACACGTACTCAAGACTCGGATGTGAACCTCCATGTGTGCAGCCTTCGTGAGAAGAAAATTCTGGAGCTGAACCACAAAATTAAGCTGGACAAGTTTGAGAAGCACTATGACTCGAACATCTCCGAAGTCTTTCATTTGCTCACTCGTTCTGTCCAGAAGCTGCGTCGACACGGCAAGCAGAAGCATAAGACGAAACTCGCGTCAAAAGGTTCTGGTCTTGATCAAATTCCTGAGGGTGATGCACATAGTGACAGTGATCATGAAGGATTCACATCCGAGACTGAGCGAGGTAGTAGCGATTTTCGTAGTAGCGACGGTAAGACAATGTGGGTGTTTGACACGCCCACGCAGCGTCTCGAGCGACGTGAAGAAGAAAAGCTGCAACGAAAGCGAGCGTTCCGGGTCTTGAACAATTACAAGATCGAAGGTGTGACTTCAAATTTAGAGTCAAGTACACCCGCAAGTCCGATACTGTCTCCTATTCTATCGCGTCCGGGCTCCATGTCCGGAGCAGCTCCATTATCGACTAGCCAGACATACGAGCAAGACACGAAGATGAGACCGTTGCTGTCAACACGTAACAGACCGACCACATCACGAAGTGAGGACCTGGTTGTTTTGATGTTAGACAAGCACAGGGACGATAAAAACAAGAAGAAGAAGGACAATCTTGACGAAATAGCCACTGGATGTGTGGAAGACGACTACAATGACGATGACGAGTTCTCGAGTGACTTGGAACGTGGCACCCAGCAGTCACTTTCCAGAGCTCCAGATCAACCACCTCAAAGCATAAATCGTATATATTCTGTCACTGAGCGACCACAGACTCTATTCCGACGGGTGTCCGTTTCAGCCTCTGCATTTGCCGCTTGGATACTCAACTACGATCCTAATGTGAAGTATTAAGGTGACAAGTAAGTGGCAAAGCTGGTTGATACAGAAATGGTGAAGATCCAATCATCCGACAGCATTTATGTAACAATAAGCAGCATTGTTGCGCTGGGTATTCTAGTGAGTTGCATCACTGTAGTCATGGTTCCATGATCTGCAACATTACCACAAAAAGATGCAATGCATGACACGTCCAGTACAATTTTTAGTCCCACACAAATTCGCATTTCGGTATTTCAGTTATAACCCAGTTACAAAAACTATGTTCAATAATCCATATGTCCTGCGCTTGTGCGAGAAAGATCGAAGAAAACAGCTGTTGCTGCTGCACGTTGCTTCCATTAGACCATCATTCCTGGCGACACGTGATTAGGACTAAATCAACACTCTCTCTTGACATAATCGTCACTTTCACGTCACCGACAGTCTGTGACACAACGCTTATCTGGCACGTTGACGCATTTTTCGGCGCTTGCGACGAAGACGACGCATACGTTTCTTGCGCCACTTGGCACGCATACCACCGTTCACAGACAGCAACATTTTCAGCGTGTCACACTCGCCAATAGCGTAATCAGCGAGTGAACCGCTCGAAAGCTGTTTGCCGGCACAGACCAGACGGAAGTTTTGGATGTACTCGACATCTTCCACGGCCTGTTTAACCGAAGCTACCGAGGCATCCGCCGCGACGCTGAGTGTGAGCGGGGCGCCCGAAAGGGTCTCTACGAAAAGCTGCATTCTTCCCTCCTGGATGCTCAGATGCTAGAGTCACCGAACAAAAATAGAACGCCATACAAATTATAAGTACGGCATTCTTTGAGCTAAAAATGATGATGTAGTACTATGAAGTCTTAGTTAAGTGACGCACCCGAAACGATGTTCCAAGCAGAGCAGTCAGCAGAAAGTGAGCCGTGCGTGTTGTGGGCGGGAACGGTTAGAAGCCATTTATAAATAGATGGTCACGAGCTTATCAGCAACGCTATACACAGTATTAGTATGTTACAAATCTCGCATGTTGTATTTTTGTCACAAAAGAATCGTGTGGCTGACATATACAAATGCTGTGATTGGCTGGACAGCGACAACGACTACCGGCCACTCATCGTAGTTCGTGTAAATAACACATATTGGTGTAGTCCATTCGAACAGTGGATCTTCCCTCTTTAAAGCGATCAACTTCAACTTGCTTGACACGCAGGTGCATTGACCATAAAAGAGCAAGTTGAAGTTATACAATCCTTTCGTCAAGACCACTACGTCAGTGAGTAGATCGTTGCTCACTACTTTATGTAACTACCACTTTAATAAGAGGCAGTGTAAAAACTTTTTAGTGGAGACGTAAGCGCACCGTCACCCCACCTGATCTTACGTGATAGAGCCGACATCACTTTGTCATGATTGACAAGTAGTGTATCGGGAAGACTTGCAACGAGCGCAGAATATTTATCTCGTCTGTAAAACAGAGTCTATAGTATAGTTTAGAACGACATGTCCTATTTTCAATCTATCACCTCACATCTGCAGCATGTTGTACTGCATCCGACAGTGTATCTCGCATACGACCGTTACAATCGTACGCAATGATTTCGTGCCGTGGTAACAGTGACTTAGCTGAGTTAACGAGCCGTAACGGATGTTTTTGGTGTCCAATGCGTCCAAGGTGGAGATGATGCAACACTGTGGTTAGATAAGTTGTCCATTAGATCAGTGAAATGATCTGGATCAATTTGAGAGCTCGGCCAGAGGACATTGAGATCGACGATGCGAAACATATTCGAGTAATTATGGCTTTTGTTTAAAATTGTTGCTCGATACTAGTGCCCTCACTTTTTCAATGTTACTGTCAGTTTATAGACCGAGATAAAAGTCACGTGGGCGTTTAGCACTGCTACATGCATAGCTGTGGACCATGCGAGACTCGACATAACGCTGTGGAAGGAGTTCAGTGGTGTCGTAGTTCATCTAGTAGCTTATCTTAAAGGAGGAAGATGATGGGTCACTATAATGAACGGCTTCACTGCATTTCCATCATATCCGGCTTTGGGTGAATTCAATTACTAGCCCATTTATGGTAGTCAAGATAACTGTTCTCTTTGTGGGTCCCATTACATGTTGTAAACCTTCTTTAAATGGCCCGCGAGAACAGCGCTATCGAAAATATCTGTGATTTCTTCGAGTCTTCTAACTGCGCATATCAGCTTGCTTACAATATTGAAACGACGTTGCTATCGAAAATGAGTGTTATGGAAAAGAGTACGCGTCCTGTGCTTAAATTGACACCAATTGCTGTAAGGTACTACTCCGGCTCCACGTCGAAAATGTCGGCGACCCAACATCACATGAAGTATTGTGTTGTGGTCGTCGATAGATACAATTCGAAAAAGTCAGCGTTTATGAGGTATCGTGAACATGCAGTTGTATCGTTAGTACATGCGTGTCACCCATGAATAAAAGCAAACGATAGCAACTTTATCGCTGAATGAGTCATGCGATCCGAAAGGTAATTGCAACCACTGAGCAAGCATGCATTTCTTTTTTTGCTTCTTTCGCCAGCTTCGCTCGAATGTTCGCGTAACTAAAACGATGATGCTTGAGATCTTCTTCCTCCATGTTCATTTCGATAGAAATCCCGTCATCCCGTCACGGATGATTTACTTGCTTAGCAAAGAAATTCTCGATAAGTTTCATTCAATCAGTAGATCCTCGAAAATTTGGTCCGTGGAAGAAGCCTCACCGTCTATCATTGGTGATGGGATCCTTAATATAATTTCATTCATATCCTTCGCAAGTGCTTCAATCGACGGATTGTGCCTGTGGCAAGACTTTCGACGAAGCCAAATCCAAAACTCTACCACAAGAAGAGAAGTGCTGTTGAGCTCAGATACCGAGCAAAAGTAACACTTCGCCTTAGACTGGTTACAACGCATTCATGTCCTCCATGCATTAACGCGCTCTGTCACGAAGCGTAGTTATCACAAAAAAGCGTAAAAACTCGAAACACGAGCATGGAGATGACAAAGAGAATCATGGATCAGGAACCATCCTTACAACGCGTCAAAACAACAACGAGTCTAGCAGTAGTAATGGTAACCCCACAGTGCAGCGTCTAATACGCTACAAAGAGGAGAGCCAAGCTCTGAAGACTACAACATCTGAGTGCACGATTCTCGTCAAAGTCGTCTCTTTCTTTATAAATCTTTCTCTTCCCAACAGCTTCTAAAGAATGTCCTAGATAGCGATAAATAAAAGAAATTTGTGCAGAAGACAACGGTAAGTAGGTTATTGACGTTGAAGTGCACGTTTTACGAACACTCATTACGTCACTACATACAATCATTCCTACAACTTCCCCCCTCCCGTCTCAATTGCCCAATCAGATATGCGTTTTTTTGTTTACCTCCCAAAGAGAATTTCTAAACATCATCGCATATAGTGAGTGGCCCACAGAACAAGTCGTTCATAACGTCAATAACCAATAGAAGATGCAGGCTTTACGATCTCTATCGAGCTCTGCACGTACAGCTGCTGGCCTTCATATACGTTATGCACAGTTAATTACCACCACAGCTCGCACTTTTGCCACAGACAAACGTTATACACCCGTGAACGAGGTGCCCGCCAGTGTCTTGGAGAATATCGGGTCAGCCAAGATCTTTTCACCGGGTTTCGCTGTACGCGGCGACCTTGCGCCTGTTAAGGGCACAAAACCCGCATACTTGGATGTACAAGCCACGTCTCCTATGGATCCGCGTGTATTGGACGCCATGATGCCGTATATGACGTACGCTTATGGTAATCCACACTCGACAACGCATGAGTTTGGCTGGGACGCCGACAAGGCTGTAGAGAATGCTCGTGGAAGCGTTGCTGCCTTAATTGGTGCAAATTCAAAGGAGATCATCTTTACATCGGGTGCTACGGAGAGTAATAATGCCATTTTGAAAGGCATTGCCCACTTTACCAAGGCTAAAAAGAAGCATATTATCACGACACAGATCGAGCACAAGTGTGTACTTGACTCATGCCGTGTATTGGAGACGGAAGGCTTTGATGTGACATATCTGCCTGTGGATACAAATGGACTTGTGGATCTAGAGAAACTGAAAGCTGCAATTCGACCTGATACAGCACTAGTGTCGGTCATTGCAGTGCACAATGAGATTGGAGTATTGCAACCATTGAAAGAAATTGGCCAAATTTGTCGTGAACGGAAGGTCTTTTTCCACACTGATGCAGCGCAGATGCTGGGGAAGTTGCCAATTGATGTGGATGAGATGAAAATTGATGCCATGTCCCTGTCGGGCCACAAGATTTATGGCCCCAAGGGTGTTGGTGCTATGTATGTGCGTCGTCGTCCGCGAGTTCGTCTCGAACCGATCATTTCAGGTGGTGGCCAAGAGCGTGGTCTGCGGAGTGGCACGCTTGCAGCGCCGCTATGTGTTGGTTTCGGCAAGGCGTGCGAGGTGGCTGTGCAGGAAATGGAGAACGACCACCGATGGGTCACTCACTTGTCGGACAAGCTCTACCGTGGTATCACAGACCGTATCGAGCATGTGGTGCTCAACGGTGACCTGGAAAAGCGTTACCCTGGCAATCTCAATTTGTCATTTGCCTACGTGGAAGGCGAGAGTCTGCTTATGGCACTCAAGAACATTGCCGTGTCTTCGGGCAGTGCATGCACGAGTGCATCACTGGAACCGTCATATGTGCTTCGTGCCATTGGTGTGGGTGAAGATCTAGCACACACGTCCATTCGTTTCGGCATTGGCCGCTTCACGACGGAGGCAGAGATCGACTATGCTATTGATCTATGCATTAAGCACGTAACGCGTCTACGTGAGATGAGTCCTTTGTGGGAAATGGTGCAGGATGGCATTGATCCTAACACGATTCAGTGGAGCCAGGACGCCCATTAAGCAATCAAGACTATAGGTGAGAAAGGTGAAGGCCATTTAAGCAAAGCAAAAGGACCCAAAAAGTACACTCAAATACCTATCATTTTTACTACTTTTTTGTACCACTGTTTAACTTTTGTCTCCCATGAATAATACAACGCTTCACTCGCCAAAATTATCTTAAAGTTCACTGTATGAAACGCTGGTCAACGGGACACAATAATTCGCACCGTAAAGGCTCAGCCGTTAATATTACTAAACATATACAGTACGTACCCTACCTTTATCATCCCCTATTATTGCCCTTGACAATAAAACTGGCCAATCGTCTGCAAAACTTTATGTGTATAGCACACATTTGCTCGCACGAACGGACGACGACAGCACATTGAAGTTGCCTGTCAACGCACTGAGACAAATAATAAAAAAAAACGTCATCGAGCTTGTGCTGTTTTTACAATAGTAAGCGTTCTGGCTCTTTGCTGCCTTTGTGCTTATGACCATCAGCTCACCTATATATGGGTTGCGTCCCTCCCACGGAATGTGCAACTTGCTGGAGCGATGGTCAGGATATCGTCCTACGAAATTGAAGTCAGAATTGTGGGGATGGCGTGACACGCACAAATAACTTGGCGTTCGTATGCTCTCCCCATCCCTTCGGAGACAGACGGTGGGGTGTCGCGCGACGTTAATTGGGTACGTACTGGTTCGACTGTCCCTAAGGCACGCGCATAAGTTTCCCCTGGGAAATTTATCAGGTAAGCACGATTTGCAGCCGATTATTTAATTGGACAAAATGCTTTGCTTTTCCAATTCGGCGCAAATTCGTTACCTGCGGTTGGGTTTGTATAAGCTTCAACATCGATCGATCACAAAAGTAAGTGAGCATCAAGACTATTTTTTATACTTCTTGTTGTAAAAACGATATGAATCATCAATTTAATCGATTTATGATCGTTGGATACTATATGTAATAGGACCATCAGCTTAGCAAGAGAAAAAGAAGTCATACAGAATGATAGAATAACTTTCCTGAAGGTCAAGAACGCTTTTGCAGCTGTTAAAAATGGCACATGTAGCGCATATGCCATGCAGTCACCCATTAATGTTAGCCAGTGAAGTCGATTGCGAGTGAAACGCATCAAAATGGTGTTCTTATGACAGGAAGTAAGTATATACCAATCTGCTCTGGACAATTTACCAGACAGCACTTTTTAGGCCGATACAATAGACGGCATTGTAGCACGGTGTAAATTGTACAAGATCGATTAGCAAATCTCTAAGTGTTGATGTCCGTTTGAGCTGAATCGACTGCTTCATGTCCATAACTAACGACTGCTGTCTCGCAATCTATAAACGGCCGCTGTGCTCTTGCTATCTCTGCATTAATTATCACATTTTTTCACTCGTGGTGTCGAATTCGGTACAGTTGAGGAAACACGAGGGCACTTGCCTACGTGTTTTTGCGAAACGACGTCGCTCTTCATTGGAGAAGCCTAATGTTCTTATTTTTTTGTATTGCAGTATGAGCTGAACTGTACGCTGCGGCTAAATTTCTGAGCAACGTCATCTACGTAAAACCGGAGACAAGCGGACGGCACAATTGCTGATGACAACCTGGAGTGGAAAGGATATTTTAGGAGCACTCGTTAATTTCCAGCAGCTTCCATGAACATTATTTTTTTGTATCGAATAAGAGACTATTGGACGTCTTCCGACGTCCTGTTACAATCGGACGACAAGCAGATGCGTCGCATGACTTCTTTTCAGTATGAGATTGGCGGTTACACGTGGGCTCCCCCTTTCGCAGCTTTTTGTACAATTATACAAAACCCAAGTATACTAGCAACTGGTAATCTATTCTAGGGTACACAATAAATTTACCGATCCACTGGCTTTCTCTCGCTGTCGTCCTTTTTCTCTTACAATTCTAAAGTGCCATGATTTCGAGGTGACAAAACCAGGACGGATTAGCCACCCCATCCCCTTTGTAAAATTAACCGATAAAAGACGGTAAACTATCGGCCATTTCAGTGCATGTCTGCCATTCTTCAAAACCCTTCTTCCAGCTCAAGCGACATTCTTCCGTGACCATGTACACCACCAACACACGATATTCTCGACACCACAATAATAACAGTTACCATCAGACGCAGCCGTACACATCACCGTCAACCAAGTACAATTATTCATCACCTACTAAGTACAATAGTGGTTATGAAACTTATTCGTCACCTGTCAAGTCGACTTCATACCATCAACGAAGTTATGCTGAATACTATTCATCCCCCAGTAGTCCAACCTACTACAATCAACAACAACAACAACAAGACTTTTACCATTCTGGAGCTTCAACGGCTTCCTCTTCTTCTCAAGAAGGTCCTTTTTACGCCGATGAATTGGATGAATTGGATGACTACAATATGGGCATGGCTAGTGCTGAAATGACGACGATTCCTACGGTCGTAACACCAATTAAGCTGAGTTTATATGAACAAGGCAAGACTCCAACTGGTAGAGTCATGATCACAGCTGGAAACCAGACTATTGAGTTTTTTTCTTGTGCAGTGAATGCACCACTTTCACGGTGTATGATTGTGCACGAGTAAAATGAACATCATGCAGTGTCACTGGCTAGCTCAAGTGTGTGTATCGTCTTCTCGACGGGGTGTTTCTCAAGAGAATGTGTTGATTATCTTTTTCCCCCGTCGTTCTAGAAGACGAAACTTTCAATAGCTAGTAAAATGTACCATTATTAAGGTTTATTGAAAGCGTTTTTATCGTCAAATTGTACAAGAGATGATGAAGAAGAAGAAAAGGTTGTACGTAGGTAAAAGCTTCTAAATAATTTACCCCCCCATTCTACCTCATTCTACCTCATTCTACCAAAAAGTCAGTTTATTAAAATGTAGTGTGTCAATTGTAAAATAAGCAACTTTTTTTTCTTTGCTTTCTATTATACATAATATATAGTACTCTCATTACTACTTTCTAACGCTTCGATGGTTACACAATAGTAACTAGTAGTAAAAATATGAATTCACGAAATAGTATAATATCTACGGGCCCTCTACTCGAAAGCATAGTTGGGGTGCACGGTTAAATATCGCTGTTGTTTCTTGGCATCTTCTTGTTCCAATGACAATTTTTTCCCCTTACGTTTCTTCACGTGCTGCTCCTGATCTTTCTCATCTTCTTCTTCTTGACTCACTTGCATATTTTCCTCCTCCTTCTCCTCCTCTTTCTCTTCCTCCATATCGACAATAGATAAAATCTTGTCCTGTAGTAACTTGTCAATGACCGAGCAAATCATTTGCTTCTCACGCGATAGCTGCGTCTCTGACGTAATGTCCTGAGACGACAAGTACCACGTAACAAGTTCACCTTGCAATACCCCAATCGCCTCTTCGTCATAATCGTCCTCCTCGTCTGCTTTTGCATCACGAACAAGCTTAGCACTCCTTGCCTCCTCTTCGACCTCACGAATGAATCTTCCAATAGCCTTTTGAATTCGTGCAAACCGCTCAAAAGAGAGAGAAGACGATGCAAGCGAGGCTTGTTTTGACTTGTATGACGGCGTGTCATTCGTACTTGTTGATGAAGTTCCGGCATGAAAAGACTCCTCCTTTGCAGTGTCATGGGCAATACCATTTCGACCAGTGTCACGTCCTTTCCTGCTGTCATCGTTCCCATTCTCATTGTCATGACCTCCATCATTGCCACTATCTTGATCGGAATCTTCTTCACCTTCAAATGGCATTGGAATAGGCATCTCTAGCTCGACATTCTGTGTATCAACATGAATGATTGACTTGCTCAGGAGCCGATATGCCTCTTGCACATGTGAAACCAGCACGGTTTCGCTAAGGTCAAGTCTTGCCAAACCCTCCGACAAGCGAATCATGGACTCTAGCTGACGCACGGTTATACGGTAAGCAATATTGGTCTGGCCATTGCTTACGACGTCGTTCTCGCGCAAACTCCGATAACAAGCAACCATCATCCTTTTGGCCTCCGGCGTGATTACTGGATCAAGCGTACGTGCAAATTTAATGTAGCGCTTGAGGTCTTCTTCCGTGTAGGCACCATTCTCGCTTGCCTCTACCTGCAAATCACTCGGCATGTGGATGTTCACGATATGTTCGGCAATTTTCAGGTCCGTGACTTCGTCGCCGTCGTCCAAAATGACAAAGAACAGGTCGAAACGGGACATAATGGGTGCCGAGATGTTCACGTTGTACTTGAGTGTCTTTGACTTGTCGTATCGACCGTTGTACGGGTTTGCAGCTGCCAAAATACTTGTCCGCGCATTCAACGTGGCCTGAATACCAGCCTTTGTGATTGTGATTGTCTGCTGTTCCATAGCTTCGTGAATAGCGACTTGGTCCATTGGATCCATCTTATCGAACTCGTCAATACAGCAAATACCATTATCCGCCAGCATGAGAGCACCAGCTTCTACGCAATAGTCTCCACTGTCGGCGTCTCGTGTCACCGACGCCGTCAGACCTGCAGCCGAACTTACTTTTCCTGATGCGTAAATTGCACGAGGTAAGAAGCCAACGATATACTTTAGAAATTGCGACTTTGCCGTGGACGGATCGCCAACAATACAAACGTTAGTATCACCACGCAACTTGATCCCCTCCATCGTCTTCTTGTGTACGCCACCGAAAAGCATAAGCAAGATACCTTTGCGAATTTCATCGTGCCCGTATACCGACGGACAGATTGACTTTGCCATCTTCAAATACCGATCCGGGTCTTGCTGCATAGCTCGGATCGCAGCCAATTCTTCGTCACTGAATTCCTGCAGTGCCGCCTCGTTACTAGTTTCTCCTTCTGCGCCATCTTCGTTAAACTCGCTACGGATAGAAATACTATTGAAACGTTGCTCCATTGTCTGAACACTACATGCGAGAAAACACGTCTTGTAAGTAAGTTCTCTCACACCAAGAGCCTTGAGACCTCGAACACCTTCACCCTCCATTCCCTGTGCACTATTCTCGCCACCACGTCGCGGCCGTTGCGTATTGTTGCGAGTAGCAACTGCAGTCTCTCCACCCGCTTTGGCAAACTTGGACACATCTGGTACTACAATCAGTGTACCCGTAAATACAACACGGTCTCCAGCCTTAGCTTGCTCTACATTTTCATGCCTCAAAATAACATCAATGGATCTTGGCATACTACCAGCTGGAATTTCATCACTATTTTCCTGTACTTTGACCCGTTGCCAGTCCACAAAGACGGACTTTTCCGTATTGAGTTCCCACGAAAAGGTGTTGACACAGTACGGGTTCTGACACTTTACAGGTTCACTGTATCGAAATTGTTGTTCCACTCCAGTTGTATCGCCACCACAATCAATGCATGTAAAAGCTCCAAACAACAATTCCGGCCGCACTTCTGACGTTCGTGTGACTGTTCCTGAAAAAGACAAGAGTTCTCCAATACTTCTTGTCCGTAGATCCCGAATACTATTTTCTCATGTACCACAACAACAACAACAAGAAAGAAAGAAACAATACATTAGAACAGAAGGACTCAATTGTTTCGATCCTACAGTATCCTAACAAAAGAAACAAACATGTCCTAGAAAAACAATCTGAAATGATCCTAAGAAAATGACAATTACGACTACGTACTGTGAGACATGTTGGAAGTTATAAAAATTGACAAAGAATTCTCTCTGTGTCTTGTTGGCGTCCTCATTGACTGTATATGCAGCATCTTCGAGCCTAATAAACTCAAAGACACTGCGTCGTAAGTACGGTTCCCATCGGTAGTATTGAGCCTGTAGAGCCTGTGCCAAGTCCGGATCAAACTCCAGGACGTGTGAAAAGTCTACAAACAGTGATGAAGTCTCTGTATTACGCATCACTTCAGCCTGTTGACTGTAGTTGATCTTGGCTCCTCCAGTCTCGTCCTGCTGCCCGTAGCCACACAAAAACTGCAGAAAACGCAATTTTACAGCCTCTGCAGTACTATCGACGAGTAATTCTACTGGCGCAGAGCTTGGATTCAGCATTGGTCCACCATTGCGGCCACGCTTGCCGCCTACACCCCCTCCATTCTTGGACCTGTCTCCGTCCTGCATTATTGTTGCAGATTTCTACCATCCAGTCGTTTTTTTGGCGGGAAGTGGTAGGGGTTGCAGTGGACCACTTCAAATTGTCAAATCCTACAGAGTTCTAAAAAAACGTTTTTTTACATTGTATACAGCTTCTTGTTGCACCGTCTGCACTACTGTACTGTACAGTACCCGTTCCTGTCGTACAATTAAATTCCTGACCATGATCGTCAAAAAAAAACGCGCTCTTTTGTCCTCGTGCGTACACAAGTACACCCTGTGAGTCCAAGATTCTGTCATGATAGAAAAGCACAAGCTTAAGCTTCATACAATAGTACAATGATAGCAAAATTGAACGCAGAAGAAAGAACAAAAAATGTGTCCGTATAGCATAGCAGTCTACAGTAATAGCCAGTGTGATCGATCGACCGATGCCAATCATTCCGGCAAAGCATGTAAGGTCTCTTGTCGTATACGTCAGTCAATACGACTTGCTTCATGTGATCCTTTGAGATCCTCCTTTGACTCAAGCTCAAGCTTAAGCTCATGTTCTACCAAATACATATCACCACAACTGGAGATCATATACAGTAGTCCATACCTTGAAAGGGTGCAATGCTCGACTCCATCATCTTTGGAGGTTGTCAAACTCTTCCTGTTTCCAATCACTCACTCACTCTTTTGAATTGTCAGTCCTTTTGTACACTGCCCTTGTTATCACGACGTGAAAGTGCATGTACCTCTACCTCGTCCTTGTCCTTGTCCTTGTCCTTGTCTTTACTGTCATTGCAACCGAGCGAGTAGCGTGCTGCTATTGCTGCTTCTGCCTCGAAACGAGGTGAGTCGTCTTTTGCTAATAAGGCACGACCTTCGAGTGTCCGATGCAACAACGCCGTACGTTCCGCTGAGCGTCTGTCCTTTCCAGTCTTTCATGTCTTCCTCCCGGAGACTCGAGCCTCGAGTCGAGCGTGTTATGCACATTGGCTGCGCATGTAATGGAATCGCGGTCGTCTGCCCCGGTCGTCAATCCGGACAAGAAATCCCTCGAAGAAGAGACAGGAACGCTAACCATATAACATTCTGCACTCACCGCAACAAGAGACGAACGTCAGAGTGCTTCTCGTTCATTCAGAGCTTTCAAATTGACCAAACCATGGGCGGTACCAAGAGTTTCGTGATGAATCCGTTCCCGTCAATGGAACTATCGTCGGGTGATAAGGAGCAATTACAAAAGACTGCGGCCAACTTCCTTGCCGAATCCATGCAATTGTACGAGACATATCTCAAAGACGATGATCGTAAAGTAGACGAGCGCCGTTGGAAACCCATCAAGATGAAAGAAAACCTGCGGTTATATCTCGAGAGGGAGGTACGTACAACGACGGACGGTAATTTCTCCATGATGAACGAAGCGTCAGAGCAGGCTGGTACATCGGTAACAATGTGCGTCGGCACAATGCAGGGCAACCTCGAGGACGTTGTATTTGGTACAGTGAGCTCGACTTCAGAGGATATGTGCTTCAATGCCACCTACGTCGATGACCTTACGGGAGCAGCAGTTCTGGCCACTGTTGTCGAGCCCACCGTCGAAGAACCGTTGCAGACACTTGCACTCAAGTGGATGGAGGTAAATCTACCCCTGCATTCGAACAAGCGCGACTTTGTGTTCATTGAAGCCACGGGGTTCACGCAACTTGGTAACGGAGAGCGCGTGGGATATCGGTTGATGTATTCGATTGGCTTTCCGCAAACGGCAGAGCTTCCGAACCGCGTTCGTGCTACCGTCAATGTCTTTTTCCTCTATCGACAGGACCACGACCAGTGCGTTGATATGTTTGCATCCGGTGTCGTGGCTAACGGGTCAAACGTCGAATCGTTCCTTGTCTCGGCGTGGGCCATGAAGTTGTTCACGTCGCTTAAATTCGCTCACTGTGGTGAGATGAAGAAGCTTGCATGGCTCATGCAACGACGTTACGCTTTGGATAAGCAGCATGGTGCCCCCGCTGGAGAAGGCGAGTGCACAAACTGTGGCATTCCCATCAGTTCCAAAATCTTTGGCAAGTTTGGTCGGTCTCGTGATTCCTGCAAACTCTGCCATCGACTCGTGTGTGGGACTTGTCGCGTCAAAAAGCGGCTGCATTTCGTGACATTGGAATTGACATTCGAGGAGCGTTCAACGTCCTTCTGTCCCTCCTGCATCAAGGAGGGTTTCGACCTCAACACGGAAGAGGCCGCTCGCGCTCAGATTGCAAGCAACAAATACCAGTGCGTCTACTCAGGCACAGACTATTCGTTTGCCAGCTCTTCCGACTTGGAGCGCACCCACACTGATAACAAGACAAGTCTCTCCCTATTAAATTTGTCTGCAAAAGACCTCGAGTAGTGTCGTCGTGGTACGTATAGTAACAAATACAATGCGAAGTACAGGAACACTCGAGTAAATCTGAATCGAACAAACTTTGAACTGATATTGGCAAGGTCTCACTCGGGATCTTGTTCACATCCATGGCTTGACTTCAAATTCAAAAAATGCTCGACACCATTACCACCAGGAATACGAAGACTCTGAATGTTGAAAACGCGTGTATTGGGATTCAACTAGTCCATACTTGTGAAGGCAAACTTGATCGTCAAAATAATACTCGGTAAGGAATGCAACAACGGCATCTTAATCACAGAGTTCGGGAGCTTCTAGGCATCGTTCGACTAATGGTCAACGAGATTGTGGGCATCATGTTAGTCTTGCAGCAAATTTGACAGTGTTAGCTTAGAACGGATATCGAAAGCGAGTAGACGCGTTTTCATGAAAACCCCGTTCCTTTGGCATTAGTTGACGCGAGAAAAGCAATTTAACATGCTTCAGCGGTGACAAAGTAAGTTACCCGTCATTAGTCGGTAGTAGCATGTGCTCGTAACAGCTATAGCTGACCGCTAAAGTTAGCCACATCACCTGGGTTAATGACCGTGCTCCACTTGAAAGTGATCTTACGTCGCGTAGAGAAAAACTCTATGCACCCGTCACCCGTAATGTCCATGTCACCGTACTTGCTCTTCGTGCCGTACATGCCACCAAAACTGAAGGGCTCGCGCGGCACGGGAATCCCGATGTTGACTCCAATCATACCAGCACGGAAACGCGACTGGAAATACTCAGCGTAAGCTCCATTTGACGTGTAGATAGCTGCTGCATTCCCATAAGCATTGCTGTTCTCGATCTGAAGCGCGTCGTCAAACGAGTTCACATGATATACCGAAAGTACTGGACCAAAGATCTCGTCTGTCATTGCGGCGTCCTTCGGGTTCGTATGAAGCAGCACGGTAGGTCCCACCCAAAATCCCTTGGACTCTCTCGACCACGGTCGACCATCCACCAGTATTTTTGTACCAGCAGCCTCTGCTTCGTTAATGTACTTCAGCACACGTGTCTTCGACGTCTCATCAATGAGAGCGCCAATCTGACCAGCTTCAGTCCCGCGAGTTAACTCCTTCGACTTTTCGACGATTTTGTCAAGTAGTGCCGAGCAATCTCCCACGAGCAACAAAACTGATGCTGCCATGCATCGCTGCCCAGTGCAGCCTGCATACGATGCAACAATGTCCTTGGAAGCGACGTCAATGTCCGCATCTGGAAGAGCGACGAGATGGTTTTTGGCTCCCCCAAGTGCAAGCACACGCTTATCAAGCGCCCGGCAACGACGAGCAACGAGTTGTGCCACATGACTTGAGCCAACAAATGTAACAGCAGCAACACCAGGATGATCACACAAACTAGTCACTGGATCCTTCGTGCCATTGACAACCTACTCATCAAAACACCAAAACAATAAATCCATCTCCAATTTAGTCACAAAAAAACTTTTACACCTATATCAAAAAATCAAGCATGAAATAGGTTTCCAGCAAACGATTCACCTGAAAAACTCCCTTTGGAACTCCTGCTTCCACCAAAAGCTCTGCTACACGTGCCATAGTCAATGGTACCTGCAATAGTACATGACAATCATAGTGTCAGTACACCTAGAAAAGCGTCTCACCTTTTCTACCCCCCATCTGCTTTCCTCGAACCTTCTCGGATGGTTTTAAAATGACACAATTTCCCATTGTTAAAGCAATAGGAATTGTCCACATGGGCACCATAATAGGAAAATTAAACGGTACAATACAGGCCACAACTCCTAGTGGATCACGAACTTCTTGGCATGTAATTCCACGTGAAACTTGTAAAATTCGTCCCTGTATTAATTGAGGCAGACTGCATGCGTATTCCACTGTCTCAGTGCCTTTTAAAACACTCGCAAGGGCCTCGGTCCGGTTTTTCCCATTCTCCTGGACAACAAGATCCGCCAGCTCATCTGGAATATCCAATAAGATCCGAAAATAAAAAATCCGTTAGAAAACAGATAATATCCAGCAAACAGGATATTATCCAACATGCAAGATATTATCCAACATGCAAGATATAATCTACATAAGTGTCACCTTGGTGTTGTATCATAAGTGCATGGAATTTGAGCATAATAGCTGCACGAGTCTTGACAGTTGTCTGTCGCCATGGAAGAAAAGCTTCTTGACCTTTCGCTACTGCCAGTTTCACGTCGTCGTCATTGGATAATCCACATTGACCAATGACTTGACCAGTTGATGGACAAATCACATCAATGTACTTGTTCTCTTTTGGTGGTACAAATACACCATCAATGAGATTCTGTGCCATGAAGAAACTCGAGAGTTTTTGCTTCTTAATACGAGATGTAGACATGAGAATATGCAAGTCAATCGAGGAAGGGATAATCCAAGAGATAATTTTGTATCTTCAAGGCTATTATGTGGGGATACGTAAATGAAAGAACATTTCGCCTTGATTCCTAGATTTTTCGAATCAAGTTCGTAGTAATATCGTGGAGTAAGAAATAATAGAGTACTTACTGTACATACAATCCGACAAGCCCAATTATTGTGAGCTTTACAATACTTTTTGAGCAATAAAAACGAGGTGAACTGTCAGTACAGATGCTGTATTTTCACTCTTCTTAGGGCATTAGTCACTCATTACCTAGGACTCGTGTACACTTTAGAACACTTGTCAATGCAAATTGACTTGCCGCCTATAAAGTTTCCAATCCTTCACCTTAGGACGAAAATTCTTGCTGAGACTTGACCGAGTTCTGCCTATAAACTTACACTTTTGTACTTCAGTCCTCGGATGAAAACGTGGTGAAGGAACCCTTACCAGAAGGATAAACACGAAGCTTTTTCTTTAACGGCCTCGATGTAGACGAAATCGAGATTTTTTACTCAACTTGTCGATCGTAGCGGCAGCATCTACATGAGTACCAAGGACTGTAGCGGATCTTCAGGTGTCGGCTATACAATCGCAGATAGAACCAAAGCACTGCTGATATCATCAACGTATGACGCTTTTAGACGCATAAGCTCAGGCGCCGGACTTATCACTCCGACACTATATCGTCCAGTTTGCCAGAGATGCAGCCGTCGCATCGAATCACCGGTGTATTCGACGTTTCTTTTTCATTCTTGGAAATTCGCTCGGAATACAACCGGACATCGTCGTCTGTCTTGATGAGCTTCCAGCGGTTTATATCAACTTGACGGGTTTGGTGTTGACAGCATACTCTTCAAAGTGTGGAAGGTGTTCATCTATAAAAGTTCGTACAAGACCTGAGAGTTCGGCTTTGTCAGCAACCAGTCTATAAATTCAAAACAAGGCTCTGAACAGTTCATCATTGTCATGGGCTCTAGGACCACACAAGAGAAAATGAATTTGTCATATCGTCGCACGGGTTGGCCAAGCGGCTTCACATGACACATTCAGCCAATCTTATCCAGACACCCGATTACCAATGTGTCTGTACAGAGCTTACTGTAGACATATAGACCATTACCATCTAAAGAAGTTCAACCGCATGACTGTCTTACGACTTGTAGCCTTATTTCTTGAACTCGTTGTTGTCTGTGGGACTGTTTCAATACAACACATGATCAAAACTCGGTAGCTGTCTATCGGACATTGATCCTACATACCAATTCATGCTTTTAAGCGACCTAGTGCTGGGTCTACTTACATCTTATCCCGGATCAGTCGATCGTCACGACAAAGTGATGCCTATCTTAGTGTGCGGCTATCACAAATGTGGTAAAGCCTGGAACTATTATGTTGGTAGCGGGGTGCTTTGTCGGAGGAGGGATAAGGTAGATGCTAAAGAATCTCAACTTTCGCGACGGGATCATCGCTTTGATGCTGTTGTAATTATGGCTGATTACTCGGAACATTGTGCGCTGGCAGCAATCTCCTGTAGTAACACCGCGTACTCTACCGATCTCTTCTTCCGCTAGCAATCCGGTGAAGAAGGACAAGTTGTCATAAATCAACTGGTTCAGACGTCCCCACAGAATGTTGTATGCAGGTTTTTACGAGTGTTGACCGACAGATTAACGTCGTACGGACTTAGTAAACCTTAAACGAATCGGTGCTGACCTAAGGCTGAAAACTTGTGGAAGCTGATCAGAAATGCACGTAACAATTCGAATGTAGTACGTTACGAAACAACTTAGGCGAACGCAAATGAATGACATCACATTGAAATCATACAGGCGAAATAACAATTGCAAACTGGCACAGCTTTCGCTTCGTCAAGGTCGGTATGAGATAGACAACAAAAACGTATTATCCATATCATCGATTTGAGCTTGATACGATCGATCGGCTCTTCTAGATCATATTTTTCGTAGATGTTAGTGTTTGTTAAGAACTCTACTAGAGTTGCCACTTTAAGAAGAAACTATCTCCTGATAAGAACTCTACGCCCTAGGAGCACAATTCTAGTACGATCCATTTCACATTGATAGATACTTGCTGCTTTGGCTAGCAAGCTAGACTATCTGGACATAAGTTTGAGGTCACGCTTTGCGTCTTGCTATTCTTAATCATCACTACGGTCCAAAACGGATGCTGTATTTGACTGGGTTGGGCTACAGCTCCATGGAATCGAGGCCACAAGCCTCGTGCCTACATATTCTTCAAGCGCGACAACACGTGAGCTTGTTTGTCTTGCTTCGTCTAGACAGTAGGTGCAGAACCACATTTTTTTCTTGACCAGGCTTCCTCTCAGTGTCACGTATCCCACCTCGATCTTTATTCTACATGGCGAACACAAGGCGCGTTTGCAAAGAGCGCACGAGCCAATGTATGTTGCAAAAATGCCAGGTTTCTGACCACAGCCAATGCACTTGGCCTCTCCTAGAATCACTGTTGCATCACATTGTCCTAATAGCCACGAGAGCTTCTTCCGATGAGCGCAGCGGATCATTTTTCTAGCTGAGATCAATGCGATCGACTCATACTTGACTCCATAAGATCGAGGGGCATATCCTCCGGAATTCGACGACGCTCGAATATAAACCTCCACCGTATTGTGGTAGCGCTGTCTATACAGTCCGCAGGTGGACATATTTCCTCGAATGTTGTTGCCAACCTTAGGCGTCTGAGGGAAGTGCACCGAGTGAACAATACGGTAACCAACCATTTCGCCGTCACGAAGCTCGGTAAAGCCCGTCGCTTCCATATATACAAAGTCACGGTTGCTAATGATGGAGCGGAGCATCGGTGGCTGGTAACTCTCGACCCACTTGACATCGAGCGATCGAAAGGGGTCCGTAGCTGATGGCTTATCAATCGTTACCAACACAGCACCTTTAGCCATGTGATCCTCTGCGTAGAAGTTTTTGAGTCGCATTGCAGCAACAGTAGGGGTCATCATGCCATACATTGCATCGTCCAAAGAGCCCTCCATGTGACCCACTGTTAATAGTGTGGGCAAACTTGTCAGCTCTGAAGATTTTTGCTGGTTGATGCAGTCTGAACATTCACAAGATTCTTCATTTTTGTCGCACTGCCGTCCTGAAAAGACCCGCATATCATCACGGTGTAGAATTTGTTTCCAATATTTATTATCCAGACATCTTTGGTCATCATGCACGTACCGCTCGTAAGTCTCGACATGATGCTGAACAAAGACATGAACGAGTTCTCTTAAGTAATGAGCCTCATGATGCGACAGATTAAGTGGGATGAATGGACTTGCAACCTTTGCCATTGCACTAACGAAGCAAACTCAATCTGGACAAGTTTTAAAATTTGGAATGACTGCAAGGGAAGCACCAAGAAATACGTGACGGAACATTTCTCCCTTACACAGCAGGCAAGCACGCGACTCTTTTATCATCGCGATTAGCAACAACTAACGTAAAAGCAGCAGACCGCGACGCAATGGAACGTCCGATCTGAGAGAGAGAGAGGAGGGCAGACGAGTCTATGTGAACCGTTTAGGGATTGCAGAATGTCTGGTAGTTCCTAAGATTCGATTAGCAACGCCAGTTCCTCGTTCGAGTCCGATGGTTGTACGGGGCGAGTCACCTGCAATGACGACTCTCAGGGTTGTCTGGTCATGGCACGATGACATAGCATCAGACGGGTTCCTTGTATTTTGTGTCGGTTCGCCGGCACTCTCGATTTGCTACGGCTCAAAGTTGCCTCATACTGGTTTCCCAAAATTCATGAACGCTGCCGGTCATGGTCACGTCCGCTTGCTGGAACGTCACTAAGTTGCGTTGTATCAACATACTAATGATGCAAACACTGCTCAGTATGTGCCATATGCGTTTCCACACGGCGACGTATGCGGCCACCTCGCCTGGGTGGTGTCTAATGAGCTGTTCCTGGACCACCTTGGATAGTCCTTGGCGCGCGACTGCTTGTATTGTTTGCAAGGAAGCACTGTAGCCGTCCAATCTCCCATCGTTCTTCTGTCCTGTGGCAGATAAGCTTCTGCCAGCAGGCTTGCACACATGGGCATGTCCAGCATATGTGTTCCAGTGTTTTTCCACTCCTTAACAGCATTAGTTCTTCCGTCACCTGTTATCTTGCCCTGGTCTAAATGAACGAGACTCTGTTGCCTTACTGCCACTCCATCAACAACCCAAACTTGTACGCAGTGAGCTCGTTCCTATAAGCTAAAAAATTAGTTGGCGTCTACGCACAGAGTCCTGGAGCGTCTCCAGAGTTCTTGTCAGCGTCCTTTCCAAACCTTTGTACCGACGAAAACGATTGTTTTTGCAGGACTAATAGTACGTGTTAGTATGCGATAGTGTTGGGCACGCTCCATCAAAGCCATGATGCTCCCTGCATGCTGACCCTTTCGGGGCCTCTGGCAGTCGGCAACCGTTCGCTGATCCTCAATGTTGTTCACGGCAATTTCCAAATGATTTTTTCTATCGCTGTCTTGCTCTAGGGCGATAACGCACCGATGACTTGGGGCTGAGTCTACCATGATGCCACTGACGAAGCCCATCGTGGTGTAATCCATGTGTAGGTCTATGTCAGGTCCGAGGAGGTACCCGAAGTGTCACCTAGTGAACCACGCAATAGAATCATTATACGAAGAAAGTGACGCCTATAAATTAATCTTTGTGCCTATCTCGTTGTACGTGAAGTGATAAGACCTGAAGGTGTCTTTTCAAAAGATGCAACAGTAGATAGGACGTGCATTTTAATCAATGCAGTGAGTCACGGAAGCCAGTCACGCCCTGATGGAGGAACAGAGCGACAAACAGCTTTTTATAGGGTTCTGTAGCTTTAGTACACGAGGTTTATTAGTATCTCAACAAAACCCAAACATGAGCATCAAGAGAGTAGGGCGACTGAAAGTAATCTGACAAGATACTACATCAACATACAAAGTTAATACAGGTGATCCTGTCATTGTGCCACTTTGATCGCCAATTGTGGGGCTCTAATGCGCTTGGGTCGTAATTTCGGTCATTTTATACTTTTCATGGGGTAGAGGTGTGTGTCTTCATTCCAAGCTCGTCATTTGTGGGGAACTCGACAAACCATAGAAAAGGAATCTTGCTGCAGCTATATGAAGAGCATGACGATACTTTTTTCGGACGACGAATGAATTGTATTGAAAAGGCAGAATAGACACAACTTAAAGCTGCTAGCCTTGCATTGCCATGCACACATGGTAGTACATGATCATGTAAATGTATTAAGCAGTCCAATTAGGCAGGGTTTGTTGAGGTTTGATTACTTCGTAGCGACGTAAAGCTGAAACCAGCAAAAGACAATAGACTTTTAGCACGAGCAGCAGCGACGGTCCGACTACCGCCCACATGTTTGTTTCCCACTAGGTGCGTGTTACGTTCACTTGCTTAGCATCGTCCGGGGTGGCATTGTCGACCATAGCAAGCAATGCTACTTTTGACAAAGAGAGCCAGGCCAAATAGTCAGGATTTTTTTGCGACACAATGAAGGAGCTGAATGGTCACGACGTCAAAAACCTCCACTCCACCGTGATCAGTACACCAAATATCAAGGTCGTTGGAGGGATAAAGCCCGCAGCTATGGCGATGGTCTACGTTACTCACGGCGCCTTTGCGACAGGCTACACTTTTTACCACATTAGCAGCTGGAATCGAAGCGGGCAGTAACATGCTCTATTAAGTAGAACGTAGCAATTTGTCTTCTACTTTTACGACGAGTGGATGAATATACCGCTACCGTTCCAGTTTCAAGTTACAACAAGGTAAATTTCTTTCTTCTTCTTTTTTTCGAGTACACTTGCTTCTCTCTTTAGTATCATCAATTCAACAATCGTTGTCCCAAGACGAAAAGGCAGAAGGGTTTGCAAAAAGACTCGTACTCAAGTACTCTGTCCGAACTGAATGCCTTATGTTCGCACTCTGATTGGACAATAACGTGCACGAAACTCGGCCATTGGTCAGACCTCGCGTCCCGTCTTCCCCTTTTCATCGCCACCTGGCGAAGTCCAGACCAGTCGCCCTGTCGTCGTCTCGTAATCGTGGGTCACAGCAGACGTCGTGGTCATTAGTTTTGGATGCTGACTTGCACTGTGCTTCATATTTCAAAGTCCTCACTACCGTCTACATTCCATAGTTGCAAGTGTACAAAATCGTCAGGTGCATTCGTGTGGCTTCTTACGTAATCTATAAACAATGGCATCACACAACAACAATAACAGCAATACCAGTGATGGCAAGTATGGCTATCCGTTAAACTTTGACTGGAAGCACCCGTGGCCTCGTGCACCAATGCCGAACAATGAAGAGGATCGTCTGGCTGAGCTCGCCCGCTACCGCATTCTCGAGACAGAACCCGATGAGAAGTTTGATAAACTTTGTCGTATTGCGTGCAAGGAGATGAAATGCCCCATTGCAGCTGTGAGCTTTATTGACAAACAGAAACAGTGGTTCAAGGCCAACAGTGGCCTCACACAGCGTCAGATTCCACGTGACGTGGCGCTCTGTGCACACACCATCATGCACGCTAAACGTGCGCTCGTGGTCGAGGACACATCGCTGGACGAGCGTTTCCAGCACAATCCGCTGGTTACGCGCGCTTCGGCCGTGCGTTTTTATGCGGGTGTGCCTATTACCACACCCAATGGCTTTTGCATTGGCTCTGTCTTTGTCTTTGATGTCAAGGGCCACCACAATGTCGACGCCAAGATTTTGCACAAGATTGCGGCTAAAGTATTGAAATACATGGACGAGCGACTCAAGAACATGGCGGCGACCAAGGACTTTGACTTGCCCGCGTCTATATCTACACCCACACCTACGTCACGGTCAAATACGACCCCTCCTAAGCGGAAGACATTGTCTCCGCCAACGTCACAGGGAAGCACGGAGCAACCGGCGGGTGAGACGGCGTTGCGGGAGCAGCAGCCAACTTCTTATACACCGGTCAAGCCCGAGCCTGCTGCTGAGCCTGTACCCGACTCGGAGACTACGAGCGCTGAGAGCGGCGTAATTGTACAATCAGCAGCAGTGACTAGTACGGCCATTGAGGCACAAGGACAGGGGCAGGGAGGACTTGGCAACATGGGCTCGATGCTTATGAACTTGCTGGCACGCACGACGGAGACACAGCAGCAACTTGCAGCACAACAGGGAGTGATGTTCGAGACATTGGGAGAACACTCAAACCAATTGGATTCACTGGGCCAATCCATGAGTAAATTGGAAAAGCGCTTTGAGCAGGTGCGAATTATGAAAGAGCAGCAGCAGCGGAATGCGACTACGGGAAGCCGTCGACCGAAACACGTGTAAATGCGTGCGCTTTTTCGTGGTCAAGAGGCGTTTAGGAGACTGCTTGATTAGTAGTGACTCAAATTCGAGCAGGGTGGAATGAGAGAGGCGATATGCCATCGTAAAAGTATCTATACGGCTCTCCGGTAGACTCCTCGTTGAGATGGATCTAGTCAATGTGTTGCATTACGAATTATATGTAGCTGTGGCATTTTTAGTACCTACAATGTCGTCACATTTGTTGTTCCGTTCACGTTTCTAAGTAGATGTTGTCGACTATTTAAGAAAGTGAATCTATCGTCAACTTGAAATGCTGTCACCATTGAGCCCAGTATTATATCAATAATGTGCTTTTTCTATTCATTTAAGACAAGTGGTTCCAGCCGTGAAAAGAGCCACGCAATCACAGCGAGAGATGTTTTCTATTATCTATTGAGCAAGAAGAGCTGACGTGCAGAAAAAATAGAGAAAGCATGTAATTTCAGGGCATTTCAGGCCGCTCTAATGCTATTGCTACATTCGGTCAACCAAGTGAAAAATAAATTAAAATCGATACTCGAGGGACTTAACGACTTATGACATTCACATTCTGTAACGGGCCAATAGTTACACGAGTTCGTTAAGTATATGATACTTAACAAAGAGGTCTAGAAGAGTACATGGTAATTTTAGACCCTGCCACTTGGGTGAGGCACATCAATGTGACCCACCCTCGTGAATGTGATATCCATGGATGGATTCACATTTGACGGGAATGACGCCCAGTTGGGACTAGGCGTCATGGTGACACTTCAGACAGACGTCATAAGCAAGCTCAAATCTAGATTTAAGCTCGCACGTAGGGATACACTTCTAAAGAGACGCGTATCCATCCGACCTTTGCATTTAACCAATCAGTAGTAAGAGTTATTACTAATAATATTCTATAAAACATAAGTCAGTCTTGAATTTGCATATAATCACTCACTGCTTACGAAAAGCTGAATAAGCCTTTGCGTGACGCAAGTGAAGATCTTGATTAGAAGTTCGTTGCGTGGTTCGCTTCGGCGACCGGCAACTGTTGGTGCGATCACTTAAGCGGTCGACCAAACACCCCAATATGCGCACGGAGGTCAGATAGTGTAACTGCTTCCTCGCGTGCGTAGAGGTGTGTGTCAGAGTAGTACGTGGCAGCTTCTTTACGAAGCGCCCGTCTACACTTGGTAGCACTAATCGTCCTTCCCACGACCCGTCTATCTGGGCGTGCGTGTGAGTGCAGATGGTCCTCAGTACGGATTATTTTTTTTCCTTATCTCTTCCAACATCATAGGGAGTTGGCAGAGCATTTAACGCAGGGACTTGGTTAACAAGCCCTGGCTAGTCTCTTGGGTTGTCATCCTGAGCAATATGTTGCTCAGTTGGAGCAATTTGAGGCGTTCGTGCTCGATTAGCGTAGAGGCGTCCAAAGCTAATAATCATGCTGCGGCTGAGTCCATCAGTAAGACTCAAGACGAGCTTCTGCGTGAGCAGGCTCGGAATGAGGCGCTTAACAGGACTGTTATGACACTTTTTGACCGGGTTAAAAAGCCGAGACCTATTTGGATGGACCCTCTAGACTGCCCCTAACACAATTGTCCTCCACGGGCTGTTAGCAATGGAGCAATGTAGTGTGGCGCAGCTCATCGAAGATGTCACCAGGATAGTGTTGTATACCATGTCAACTTGCGTAGTAAAGTGTCTGAGTGGCTCTGCGATTATGGCAAACGCAAAAGCGTTTTCACATGGCTATTTTCAAAACAAAGATCCGCAACATGTATCAGCCGCTCAACAATGAAGTATTGCTTCAGCCGCGCTTTTTTGGAGCATGACAGGCGAAACGATTTCTGATAGAGTATATGCAGGAGATGCGTTTCGCTGTCAGCATCCATTACTGTGGGTCGGATATTGGACCAAATTAAGATGCCTACGTGTTGAATCTTAATTTGGTCCAATAAATTGGTCTTGACCATCTTGGCGAAGCGGGCTAACAACAAGGTATGATTGATTTGGTAACTGCGCTGTACGCTGGGATGTGCGCCAGGGCTGATCGCACATGACGTCGCGAAAGGTATCTTTCGAAGATGGTAAATCGAACAGCATAAGTGCAAAGCGACACGAAGCTGCTATCTACGATCTTGAAAGAGAAGACCAAGCTATGCAACAGAAAGGAGGTCAAGTAAAGCGATGACTGGTCAATAGAAAGGGCGAACTACGGACAAGCTCAACGACGGCTGCAAGATGTCAAGACGTGACATGGTGCTGGACAATGGGGAAGGTGGGATACCTGCGCAGGTGGCAAGCCCCTAGAGGAACCTTGGTATTGCTATGGATAGCAGCCACAAAAGAGGGGTAGCCGGGATACCTGACAAGCGAGGAAGCACAGATGCTGATCGTAGATACAGGTAACAAATTTTTTAAGAGACCTACAAGCAATGCATTACGGATAGATGCATGCTCAAACGAACTTCTTTGTATGTCGTCGAGGGGGAGTGTTGGAAAGAGCAAGTTGTACGTTTTATCGACTCCATAGAATTAACCTACGTTAGGATACATAAAGATACTGTAGCTGCTTTTAAATGCTTCTATGGATGTGATAGGTCTTGATTAAAAATGGTTTTCACTTGTAAATTGACAAATCTACTGACGAGGCCCCGGAGGGGGCGGAAACGCGTATGGCACGCGTTAATATACACTCACGTTGACTTTACTCTTACGTTACTAACACAACGCTCATGAATGGACTACGGAACGTTCCATCACGTCATGACTTTTTTTAGAAAGGTGCCAGCGACGATGGAAGAGGTAATTGACATTGCCATGGTTGAGGAATAATCCTACAATTGTGCCTCGTCGACATCTTCTTATAAGCCGTCGGCCGGAAGTCAGATTCCACTCCGATATAGTTGGGCAATGCACACGTTTTCTGCTGCAAGTACGGTAAGCAGCGATATGATGGCTCGCTGATATTCCAGACTTGCTGTTGGTGCTCAGAAAAAAGCTTTCTACCCAAAGGGAGGTGTGAAAACCAGCGTACACGACGCAAGGGTTCAGCACCTGCCCAAGATGTGGCGGGAAATGTGGAAGCGTAGTAAGGGCGGGATGCCCTACTGTCGCGGACTCTGAAGCTATCTTCATGTTCAGAGTTATCGAACAAATGAGTAGCATAGTCTCTGAGGTACCGAAAGGTCGTACCTCAACCCTTTTGGTCTATAGCTCTCGAGTACAAGGCTATGACCCTTCCCGTTGATTCGGGTGCATCACAAAACATTATGAAACTCGCGGCTCTGAAAAAGAGTCCAGCGAGTTATAAGTCGCTTTGCCAGGATGGCAAGCGAGAAGAGGCGATCGTTCGTTTAGCAAATGGCGCGCTCGTTAAATTGGAGGGAGTTCAATTTGAACTCGCCTTCAGTTTCAGTGACTTCTCTTGCTAAGAGAAGTTTACAGTTCTAGGTATGGAGAGTCCGTATGACCTCATCCTAGGCATGCCTTTGTTGGCTAAACACCAACCATGGATAGACTGGCGTACACGCACAGTCGCTAGCTCTACGCAAAACATCGGAAAGGATGTGCTCTTGCGAGACTGATACTGTGTCCAACACAGTCGAGGGTTCGATGACGGTATGCCAATCGGCACCAGTTACCATTCAGCTCGAGGAGACTGGTGAAGTGAATAGGACGATGACAGGTAGCCATGCGTCCAATGGTCCTGCACAGAGCCGAGAGCCAGTGGCAATTGATGGTGGGCTGACAGTAATTTAAGCGCCACAAGAACCGGCACAGAGCCATGAGCCTGGTGCGGTTGGAAGGAGTGCGTTGGCTAATACAGCAACGACGCCTTCTTACGGGTCAAAGGTCGTGGTGACTAGAACGAGCACCACACGTATTCAGACGATCAAGGGCACGTCAAAACGAGTGACCCTTGGATCAGTCTAAGTTTAAGAGGACGGACCTCCGAACGAGTTGTTCGAGTTCGTCGAAGACAAAATGCCGGAGGCATCCTCAGTTGAGGTGCTCCAACTTGTCTTGGCATCTGTCGAGGAGATAGTAAATCTCTAGAAGATGACGTGTGATCTTTATCTGTCCGAAATAAAGGAAGGAAAGATCCACGAGATAGTCGCACCAGATCCAGAAGAGAATGTGGTGGAATGTTGCTCGTCATCCACAATGGACGAGAACGTCTTGAAGACCGACAAAAAGAAACGGTTTGCTGCTCAAGGCTGGGAAGCCTTGAAGGACAGCCCGTTCTATGATGTTCTGTGGAAACACCGTGATGTGTTTCCAGCAGAAATGCCGAGCCGCCTACCTGCCGATAGGGGAATTAGGCACGAGATTGACCTGGACCCTGGCACCAAGTATTGTGTGACCAGGCAGGGGCCGTTGTCGAGGGTAAAAGTCGATACATCGATGAGTTCTTCGACTAGCTAACTAAGGCGGAACGTGTAGGTGAGAGCAAGTCGACTCGCTGCAGCCCGACCTTCTGTGTGCGTAAAGCAATAGGTGGATGGAGCATGGTTCATGCTTATAATAATCTGAACACGGCCACCATTTCGGCTCAAATGCCGATCCCGCGGAAGATGTCTTGTTGAACTCCATGGGGAAGTCACCTATCTTTTACGCGTTGGATCTGAAGGATGGCTACTATTAAGTTCTTATGAGAGATACTGATGTAGCCAAAACGTCAGTAAGAACCCCAAGTGGTATGCTGTGGGAGTGGCTTGTGATGCCACAAGGGTTGAAAAATGCTCCGGCAACATTCAACCGAGTGGTGGCTCACGTGATGCGTCAGCATTGTGCCTACGCGTCCCATTACTTTGACGACGTGTTCGTGCATAGTTGGGCGGAGGACGGTCTGAGCGCAATAGAGTCGCACAAGCGTCATTTAGACGCTGTGTTGCAGACTCTGGGTGACGCCCAGTTATACTTTAACTTGCAAAAGTGCGTCATAAGGGTATCCGAGATACCTGTGCTGGGCTGCATCGTAGGTACACATGGTGTACGAGCAGACCCATAAAAGGTAAGGGCTGTAAAGGAATGGCCAGTCCCACGTAATGTGAAGGATCTGCGCCAATTCCTTGGGCTCGCTAATTACTTGCATAAGTACAGCAAGAATTATGCGAAGCAGATTAAGCCATTGTATGACCTTTTGAGAAAGGATACAGAATGGACATGGTCAAAGGAGCAAGAAGATACGTTCACATCAGTGAAGCAATCTCTTGTAGAGGCACCGGTCTTGGCATTGCCAGACGCGGATAAGCCCTTTAGCGTCGTCTGCGATGCAAGCAATTTTGCAATCGGCAGCGCGCTCATGCAAAAGGATGACAGCGACGTTGACCGTGTCATATCGTATCAGTCTCGGCTTTTGACAGCCGCAGAGCTGAATTACCCTGTGCATGACAAGGAGCTACTTTCAATAAAGTATGCTCTTGTAAAGTTTCGGGTGAATCTCTTGGGCACCGAACCTTTTGTGGTATGTACGGATCACGCATCACTGCGGACCGCTATAAATTCACCGCACCTCTCGCCGAGAATGGCGAGACGGCTAACATTCTTCTCTGAATTCAATTTCAATGTTAAATATACGCCAGGTAAGTCGAATGTCTTGGCTGACGCTTTATCGCGCAGACCAGACTTCGAGGCAAGACACCAGGATAGTGTGTCTCGTGCGAAGGCACAACTTCAGTCGTCAACATTGGCAGCCATGAAGGCCTACCATGTGACGAGCTCAATGGCCTCCGATATAAAGGAGTGTACAGTCAGGACGATCATTGTCGCCAGCTGTTGGATCATTTTGGTGGACGAAAGGTTACCCTTCCGTCGCACCTCTAAGCGAAGTTAAATCGCTTTAGTTACAGTGATGTCCTGTTATGGCATCAATTGTCACCCTGTGATCCCTTGAGAATCTATGTCCCTCATGACACAGATCTCAAGCTGATGATACTTCACGAGTACCATGATGCGCCATCTAGTGGGCATATGGGCCGTGAAAAGACATTCTTACGAGTGTCAGAGGAATTTTGGTGGCCCCACCTATACCGGTGGGTGGCCAACTATATTCACTCTTGCGAAGAGAGTGAGCACATTAAGCCTGCAGCTTCGAGCATTGCGCCACTGAAGCCACTGCCGATTCCAACTGAATATTGAAAGTCGGTCAGTTTGGATTTCATGTTTGGCTTACCGCCTGACCATAAAGGCAGGACGGGGCTCGTCGTCTTTGTAGACAGACTGAGCAAGATGGTGCATTTGGCACCATGTAGCACCAAGATCTCAGGAAAAGAGGCTGCCCTCTTGTTTCTGGATCACGTGTATCGACTACACGGGATGTCCGAGTCCACCGTATCTGACCGGGATCCGCGTTTTACGTCGGGTTGTTTGGCGACATATGTTTGAGCTGCTGGGAAGCAAGCTCCACATGTCAACCGCTGATCATCCTTTAGACCGATGGATAAACAGAACGGGCCAATCGAGTCGTGGCGGATGTGTTGCTTACAATAGCGACTCCCAAAGAATGGAGCAAGCAATTGCCATTCGTGGAGCTCGCTATAAATAACAGTGTTCACGCCAGTACGGGTAAAACACCGTTTTACATTAACGGACTGCGTCATCCTTGAACGCCAGTCTCGTTTGTACGCAGCCCGAGTCTTAGTGGGGGAGGGCCCCTCACTTCGCTCGGTGCACATGCCAAAAAGGTCCAAGGTTGCCCTAGTGACACTGCTAATTTAGCAGTGGTCACGACACCTATAGGTGTCACAAAGGAGGCACGGCAAGAAATGCCAGTGCTCGTTGATGATGACACTATAGTGTTGTCAACAGCGTCGACCCATGAACGACCTCTTGGAGGCGTCATCGGCGAGCTGGATGCTAAAAGCGTGAGCGAAGCTCAGCGCTTTGTGGATGAGCGATTAGCCATCACACGTAAAGTCCGTGACGCGATGGCAAGCGCACAGGACAAGCAAAAACAATATGAAGACCAGCATGGTCGCAAAAAACAATGAACACTTTAGTGTGGGGGACAAAGTACTGCTACCCTACCTAAACATGCAATTTCTGTACTACCTGGTGGTACTACTAATCTATTGCCCCGATTAATTTGGACCTTTACAGTGGTTGAAGAAGTTGGAGACCTAAATTATAGGCTCACTCTCCCACCGTATATGAAGACGCACCCCTTATTTTACGTGGGTCGTTTGAAACGGTATGTTGATCCAGAGAAATCACATATCCGCATCGGTCTAAAGAGACCGATGGTGACGTCGACTGTGAGTCGAGCGTCGCGACCGATCAGGCGACGAGGAAGCCGATAGGCTCTCCGTATACGAACGAGGAGATAGAGGACTCGGCGATCGAGGAGGACTCCGCGCTTGACGCGGGTCTCTCATCACCAGTCGCTCTAAGATGTCCAAACGGGTCTTCAGGCGGTCATACCCCTGACGGTCCCTCGCCCTCACATCGCGCAGATCCGAGGTCAGTCGCGAGACTTGACTCTCGAGATCTGTCACCTGTCTCTTCAGCGCAGCGGACTCAGCCTGCGACAGATCAGCAGCAGGGTAGGCAGCCGCGAGTAGGTGGGCGTAATCGCCACTCCTATCAGGCGCCACCTGTGTTGGTGGACACGGATGGGAATACGCGCTTCCTTGTTGGAAGGCTGTTTGCCCACCGGTTTGTGAAGCGAAAGCTCCAAATCCTTGTCCAGTGGAAGGGTTACCCAACGAGCTTTGACTCGTGGGAGCCTGTGGACGCTTTGCGCGTTGACGTGCCTGGGCTGGTGGCTGCTTATGTGAAGCAGCACCAGCTGGCGTCTTTCTGCTAGGTCCGGATGAACTAGCAGAAGAAGCTTGGCGAGAAGCAATTGGGGGTCGCTTACCGCCCATAATTTCATGCGCACGCTTCATGGTGAAGCTGATTCGCTGCGACCGTTATTTTCGTTGCATCTACATGCAAGGTAACACGGCGCCGAAGTTCAGCTTCATATTCGTCGGCTGTTTCGTTTAGACGCAGCAAGAATGGAATTGGGAAAGCACGACCAAGTGCTTTGCCCTGCTTTTTTCACAAAGGAAAGACGATATACAATTTATGAGCGTCTATAGTGGCACGCTGCAAAAGCGCTGCGCTAGACCCATCCGAGTTCATCCACTCAGATGGAGGTGGCATTGGTGGCAAGCCACCACTCACGTAGCCGCCCTCGCTATGGCGGGCTAGTGAGGCCGACGGTGTACTTGGTGGAGCTTTAAGCTCACACTCACCTAAGTCTGACTCTCCATTATGGATTGTCAAGACATCAGCTTGAGAAGTTACATCTGACTGAGTCGCGACTACTCCTTTCGAAGTAGCGTGCTCAGTCTTAGTCGCTGCGCTCGTAGGCGCAGACGACGAGGTTTTACCTTCGCTTGCAGGAAGCATGGATGCTTCCTCAAGGACGGGTGCCTCAAATGATGGGGACATATGTCCCATCAATGCACTATGCTCATCGCCACTTTGGGGAGATGGCAGTGGTGTAGTCTCATTGTAATCTACAATGAGAGATGGATCTTCATCCACATTATCGTGAGATGGAAGATTCACCCCAGTGTCTGACGCACTTTGCGACGGCTGCGATAAGTCGCGGCGCGTGCGCTTAGTGCTGGACTGCATGGGTGCCTTTGCAGGCAACCCATCAGCCTTACCACGTTTCGGTGGCATGAGTACTGAGCAGAAAAAAGCGGCGCGTGTATAACGGCTCGCAAGTCTCTCTGTCTCTTAGGCGATGTTTTACAAAATGTAACATCGTTCTAAAACGGGGGATGGTGTAACAGGGCATCTAGTTACACGTAAACATTAAGTAATATACTTAATGTTTGGTCTAAAAGTATCCATGATTACTTTTGACCTGTCACTTGGGTGCGATACACAAATGTGATCCGCCCTCGTGAATGTGATATCCATTTATGGATTCACATGAGAAGGGATGACGCTAGTTGAAGCTAGGCATCGCGACGTCTCAGAAGAACGTCAGTTGCGATCTTAAATCTAGATTTAAGATCATGCAACAGGATACGCTTTTAAAGAGTCGCGTATCCGATCTATATATATATTTAGCCAATCAGTAGTTAAAAATATATAATTAGTTATAATTAATTAAATATAGCTCAGTCTTGAATTGGCTTAAAAACCGAAGCACCACGCACGAGAAGTTGAAAGACTTCTGCGTGACGTCGGTGCCTTCTTGTTAAGAAGTTCGTTGCACTCTCGCTTAAGCAAGAGGCAACTGGTGGTACGACTGCTTAAGCAGTCGACCAACCTCCCAACCACCCTTGCACGCGAAGGTAAGACGGTATAGCCGCTTCCTCGCTTGTGCATAAGGTGTGTGCTCGTAGTACGAGGCAACTTCGTAGAAGTGCCCGTCTACACTAGATGTACTATCCGTTCAATACGAAAGACAAAACCAAGTTTAGAAGTTTGTAGAAAGTGAAAGCTTATTACATGTACAATTCAAGCAGTTGCAAGTTGCAGCTCAGTTGTCTCAAGCATCTCTACATTAGTTCAATTCGTACTGTATTCGTACGACCATCGCGTTTTTAACTCGAGCACGGTCACTTCACTGAGCATGATCACTCTGCTGTCCGCTTCTGTGCTTCTCTGGCGGGCTTCACCCACGTCCAGCGTTCTAATGGCATATACAACTGCAACGAGGCATTCACAAACATGCCGAAACCAAAGCCTATCCAGAGCCACTCAACGCCCAGAAAGAAGTGGAAACCCAGCAGTCCAGCGGTAGGAATGGCATACACGTAGTAGGCTACCGCATTTACAGTTGCTGCCACTTTTTGCTTGCCCGCTCCTCGAAAAATGCCCTGCGTTACCGCATTGAGGCCATCCAGCACTTCTAGTGGCGCCCAAACCGCCAACATACCAGCTGCTCGCGAGATACCTTCAGCGTCATCTAGAAACAGTTTTGGAATTTCGCCGCGTAACAGGTATAGTGTGACTGAGATCATCGATGATATGGCCAACGTCAGTAGCAAGAATACTGTGGACACCCCTGCATCAATGTCAGAAGCTCAAACGCCCACTACTCCATCGCCATCATCAAAATTCAGGAATTCCTAGTTGTAAAAAAAGCCCCACATGTGCGAGAGCTTCCCTCATATTCCAGCCACACCACCACTGACTCAAGTGGTGTGGGTAGTAGTAGAAGTAAGGGATCAGCAACAATGGCAACACCATGTTGCCTAAAGACCTTGATAGAGAGCAACACGTTCGAACGCCATGGAAGAATGGTAAGTCAGCAAGTATCCTGATACAATATTCACGCATTACCAATAGCTACAATAGCCACCAGGGTTTTGTGCTTGCAAAACTTTACGCATCAGTTCGTACAAAAAGACAAATGGTACACCAGGCAAAGACCAGCGTAAGAAAATAGTGCTAATTATCTATCACTTTTGGCAATCCTTTTCGCATCGTACCCTTGTGAACCCAGCGAATTCAGAGCTGACGTTAGCCCAAGCCCAATGAATACCAATGAGCCAGAAATTAGCTTGAAAATAAACTTTGATCTTGGAGAATACTTGGTGTCACACGCCTGCAAACACGCCGCGATAAAAGCTCTACCGGATCGTTTCAACGCTGGAGCAATTTATGAACTCTTCGCATAAATCTGAACACTCATTCATGACATGACACATTTCTCGTAAGTTAAGCCAATACAACACCATTGCATGTACATGCTAGAGACAAATAGAGTCAACACACAACAACTTAGTCCTGCGAAAGAGAAACTAAGTTTAGCGCTGGTGCGATCGTTAGCAACTCCCAACGTAACATGCCTTGCAATGTATCGCTAGCATTGCGGTGTGCGTGTTCCTCTCCGCAATAATTTGTGCGACCTGTCCAGCGCAGTTGCTGATACTCTTCACCTGTAACGGGGTTTACCACGTTTAGAAACTCAATCGATAGTGACAAGTGTGCCCACGCCAGCTTCTCATCAGTCTCGTCTCTACAATGAGACCCGTTGATATCCACACTCTGTGTGCCCAGAACGTATCCCGTAACTTCAAGCATCGTATCGTCCACCTCCGAATCTAAACTATACGACATTGGTGATGTCGAGGGCGCGTCAATGTATGTGGGTGTGGCCATTAAATCCGCGCTCGCCGGGATCGTTTTCCTAGTCTCAATAAGGAAACGCACGAAGACGGATCGAAATGTTGAGATATCGTCAGTTGGAGAAGTCACGTCACGTCACGGCCGAGCACGTAAGCGTTCGGATTGATCTGTTGTAGTACTTCGAGCCGACTCGTTTCACACTTGACTTTTTTGAATCGATCCAGTCTCATATCGTTGACCCAGGTCTTTTGCATCAACTCGATCACATTAAGACCCGTATATATCTTGGTAAAGACGCACTCCATGATACTGCCGTCTACGCGCTGCACAATATCCCAGCCAAATGTCTGCATCCTTCGTGTCTTCCGTCCTTCCGCATCCGGATTATGAATAAGCAACTTATTCTGCACGCGACCCATTGTCCAGTTATTGTCCAGAATTACTTGGGTCAAATCCAGTTCCGTCAACTTGTAAAAGCCAAAGACTTGAGCTGCCTCGTATGCATCGAGCCGTTCAAGTTGCATTCGATCTGCTTCTTCGCCTCCTAACGCCGGCTGTTGGAACTGTTGCGCCCATCTTGGTCCGCCCGTCTCGAAACAATTCTCTAGAATTGAGTACAAATGTAACTTCCATGTGGCCTGGTGTTGAATCTTTGCCTTTAGGTACAAATTTTCAGCTCCAAGTCTTTTGATCAATGTCACAGCTTGACAATAATTTGTTGGTAAGTAAGTCGATGTCGTCACGGACGACGTCATATTCTTTTTAGAAACCCGAACACACAACGCTGTGTATTGCTTTTCCAGCTCGACAAGTGTATTTTTCATTTCATCAACTTCTCCTCGTTTTCGTTGTCGTGCTCGTCGCATACAATCGCGATTTTTCTGTCGTCGAACTTGCATTGCACTTGTACTCGGTACTTGATCACAGTCAAATATCTCTTCAGTAGCTACACTGACCCATGTCATGGGTCTTGCGGTTGAAACTGTCTGTGTTATTTTCGAGCCTTTTAGCACTGACGGCTTACTCATTACTCTGGGATCCCGTTGCAAAGCCCTCATCTCTTTTCCAAAACATGAAAGCTCTCTGCCTTGAATAAGGCTATTGCCGTCGTTCGGGTCTACATTGTGCTCCAAAATATCGGGACTCTTCTTAATGAAACTGTCACTGCTACCGTCATCCTGCAATTGACAAATCTCGTCCCTCGTAGCGTCCTCGTAGTTGTCCAAGATTACAGTAACACAGTCCTCATCTACACCAGTCGATCTTGTCGTCGTAGCCCTTTGTATCATTTTATCTCCTGAGACGTCAGTACCTACCAAAGCGCTAATTGGTCCATTGGGTGGCATGCCTTTTGTACGCACACGGCCCGACTCTTGTCGTCAAAAGAAGTTCAGCACAATCGTACAGCATATTCTGAGTCGAGGTGAATGGACTCTACTTGATACAGTCACACTAGAACATTAGAACAATTAGGACAAGCTATGATGAAGCTACCACTGCTTTCATCTATGTCTTAAGATATTGAGACCATGGAAGTCTAAGTCTTACCAATTTGATAGGTGCAGCATGTAGACACCGTTTTTAGAGCAAGGATCACTTTGTTGTATTTGAGTTTTAGATCAATGGCTTGCCGTGGTGTGAGTGAAAATCTGCAATCGATGCAAGTCAGAGTTGTGATGTATGATGTCCTTGAAACTGTCACGTGCTGACTCATTCGATTCAAAACCAGTTCTGCACGAATTGTAACGTGGATATGTCGTTGGCTGGAGACATAAAGCAATGTAAAGGCATCAGCATCACGTAAGCAAAACGACGTTTTAATAAGCTGATGTGTACGTAGCGAACGTTTTCGCGGAAGGAAGAGGTCATTGCGAGTTAAACTCAAATAATAATGATTGATTGCAACTTTGCGGCTGCCTTGTCACTTTGAACTGAAAGATGTTGTCAATGCATCGATCAACGTGAACTTGACCTTGCTATCGTTATCGTGCACTTATCTTCATGGCAGTAAAGCCAAATGTATGGCTATTGTTGGGGAGGTTGACCCCACTGTTGTTCAGACTAAACGATTGACATTTGAGCTGCTGACGCTGATGGCTGCTGTACATGCCAAAACGACGCAATTTGCGTCTTGCATCCTAGTCCACTGCTGTGATCAAATCAGTGAGTGCAAACGCCGTCCGGCGAGAATGAAATCAGTGAAAGAATTGTCTGATGCAGCAAATATTGGGGTCGGCAATTGTAAGGGTCAAAGCAGACCAAAGCAGACCAAAGTTTCATGCGCATTGGTGATGGTAGCGATGTTTCTGTGTCGTTCTGCCCGCGAGGTGGTGGAGCTTGCCGAGTTTTATTGCAAACAATCACTATTGACAGCATTGCGCAAGCTGCACGTGTGTGGGAAGTCTGGGTGCCATTTGATATTCTAGATGTAAAAAGTACCGTGCTTCGGGGCGTGTTCCGAGGTGCTGGTGAGCAAAGCTTGGCGTAAACATCAACGCCTACTACGTACTTGGGATCCCTTACTCCGCTCATTACACCAATTAAGTCTCTAAGGAGACCTCGGTATCCGCGTCTACGCAATATTTGCTGTTCGAATGCGGGTACAACTACATGTGGCTGAAATCAACGCTAAGTCAGACAAGAATCGTTTGCCACAGAGCAACAATGCTCGACGGGTTCAAGCATGTTTCTAACTCCCCCCACATATAAGGATTGTAGAGCTGGTCCTTGTCAAAACTGGTGAATGATCGATTCGTGGTCATTGTCAAAACGTAAGAACAATGGAGTCAGCTCAATGTATTGGAGACCGTGCCTCCCATTAACTTGAAGTTGAGTTGCGCATGGCTGTTGAGGTAGCGTCGGAGAGCCGACACGAGTTGGAGACAATCTACGATTCGGCTAATGTCGTCTCTTCGTCACAACTGAAGGCATAATCCAAAGTCCGCTGATTCGTTGTTGTTGGATGGAACATCTTTGTTGGAACAGAGTTCCCGTCCTCGGACATAGAGTCGCGATATACACTGGTTGAATAGCTGTCTTGGACGCCGGAATTGCCGGATACTGTAAATGTATCGGCATTGCTCGACAGACTCTTGTTTCGCTGCTGTTCATGGTGCTGAGCCTTGACAATCTCGGCATCAGTAAGGCCGAAATCGGTCAAGTAACTGGTTGCATGGACTTCGTCCAAGGACATCGACAACGTTTGCTCTTCCACGTGATTAATGGTGAGATGATGTTTGTACTTTGCGCCTCCCATTGTTTCCAACAGAAGCTGTGCGAGGTCTGGGTGGAACGTACACTGGTAAAGGTTGACGACCGAGCGCTAAAGCGCATCCGATAAGACACCAAGAGGTATGCCCAATCTCTTGGCAGTGGGAACAAACGCTCTATACTCGTTGTAGTACGACCGTGAATGTCGCAATGTACGGAGTCTGGGTGCCTATGGTTGCGAAAACAAATCATACCATCGCACTTCCAAACCATAATGAAAACGACAGGAGTGTCCATCGATTCGCGATCATCCAAATCTTATGTTCACGATCAAAACGTCAGCGAAAATGCAAGTATACCGAACTCCACTCGGGACTCATTGCCTGCCGCCTTGTCGGACGCGTTGCATCCATATAGTATTACCACAAAGATAACCAGCGATTCATAGAAAGCAGCAGCGACCCAGCGAAAGAAGGTGTACATGTTGAAAAAGAATCGATCTGGGCCGCGACGGTACAAGTCCAGGTACTCGATGCTGAATGGCGTTGACAGATCCATATCCAAAACACCCACAACGATAATAGGCAGACCCGTAAAGGCAATGTTATACAGCTGACCACCGATTTCCCAGTACATTTCGATCCAGAAGCGCCCGATAAATAGCCGTACCAGTACTGCGCCAGGACAAGTGTAATGTTCTTATAGAACATGTACAGAACCAGCTTCGAAATGCGGATGTAGTTCCAACGTCCGTGAACAAGCAACAGTCGATTCAGGAATCAAAACTGTTCCAGGAATCAAAACTGGGCAATGGCATAGTCACTTGAGTTCACTGCCTGCTTACCTTCCTGTCCAGAAATGCCCACACCAACATGAGCAGCCTGGATCATAGCAACATCGTTGGCTCCATCGCCAATAGCTAGAGTTCGTACTGAAGTGATATTGTTCCTTACAGGCTTCACCATCTCTGCCTTTTGAGCAGGAGATACACGGTTCCAGATCACGGCACGACATAACTTGGCAAATGACAGCAGGTGTGGCGCGATTTCGGGACGAAGGGCCATCTCCAATGCCTCGCCGTCAATAATTAGCGAGATTTCCTTCTCAGTTCCACCCGCCATTCCTTTCGCATTGTCCATAAACTCACGAGCTGCTGTATTCAGTTTTGTACGGAGCGTTTCCTCATCCGGGCATGTGGTGGCATTTACAACGACTTGCTGAATCGAGTTACCCAGCAGTGAGCATGCATACGAGATGTTAATTGCAGTCTCTTCCTCGTCTCCCGTAAGCATCCAGACCTTGATGCCAGCTTTCGTCAAATTTACCAAGCATTGCGGAACACCCTCCTGTAATTTATCTTCGATTGCCGTCGCTCCAATCAGCTCCAGTCCTTGTTCGATTTCTTCCATCAGATCATCAATAGCATTTGGCTTCTCATCTTTGCGTCGGTCGATTTCGGCCACGTTACCCTGTGCATCATCGAATCGCACTTTCCATTGTTGGAACCAGTGCGGATCAAGCTTCTTTATGGTAAGCGCCAACGTACACAAGCCATCGTCGGCGTACTTTTCCATATGGTCTCGTGTAATACTGTTGACCTTCTGCATTGCAGGGCGATCCTTCAAGCGTTGATAAATCATCATGTCAGCTCCCTTCGTGAAGAGAAACAGCTCCCCAGATGATTTGCGCACGACAACAGACATACGCTTTCTCGTGCTGTTAAACTCGAGCACGTCCAACACCTCGTAGGTCACACGTTCTCCTAGGACCTCCACCATCGCCGTTCCTACACTACGACTCTTGATCTTGAATCCTGCAAAGGCTACACCAGCCACAAGAGCCTATTCATCAGGAGATGACGCTGATAGACGAACTTCTCCTGACTCTATCTTTTCAGGGATTACTGTGTGGCATACAGCGAGGTGCTCGAAAAAAAAACTGGAGGATCTTCGCCTTTTGCTCTTCACCAGCACGTCCCTTCATTCCGTCGATCAGTGTCTCGTCAACAAAGTTCACAAACGGTAGTTTCTTGACGCTCGGGTCCAGCTTAGGCTCCGATAAAATTGGCTTTCCAGTACGACCCAGTGCAGCGCATCCAATTTCCGTCATGCCGGAGCCATACGAAGTGCCGTTGACGGAGCACTTGTCTAACTCGATAATGTTGCATGTTAGCGTTCCCGTCTTGTCGCTGAAAACGTAGGTTTTGTGGCCCAGCTCTTTGTTTAAATCCATCGTTCGCATGATAGCAGGCGTGTCTGTCTCAGCATATTACATCTCAAGGTTCCACGACATAAATCGTGACGGCAAGAATTTGATACTTTTCATGGATACGTACAACGAGATAGGAACCACCTGGTAGTGCAGCAAGAAAAGTAAACATCATCGGGATCATTGCTACAAAGCGCGACCGGTCATTCTCCGCATCCGAAAGCTGAATGTACCACGTATCGCGCACCATTCGGTCTGCCATGTAATGTAGCAAGAAGCAGCCACGGCACAAGCCACAAACGGTCCTAAGCACAGGACAACGATCATTCAATAAATGCTAAGCATAAGATCGCTCCATTTGGACGGCGCTGCACTGGAACTCTGCATGATCTTTGAGTCTTTGCCCGGTGTTGAGCACAAGTATAAATACCCAGTCCGTATTTCGCAAGTTGCAGCCTCGTAGCAGCACGTTCTTAAGAAAGCGGCATGACCTCGACACCACCACCATCACACACCGTGACTTCTATTTGCCTGCACATTTATTTGATGTGTGGGTCGGGCTGTCCAACATTTAATGACATCGCGCAGCACGGCCAGTTGTGCCGGGTTTGACAATGAATTCATCGTAGCAGCCACAGCTTGTCGCAGCTTCACGTTTGTTTCTCCATCCAGACTCTTGGTCTTTACATACAACAAATGCTGCTCGAAGGTTCACCTGGAGCCTCTGCGACTGCGAGCACGAGTACATCTGCCGAAATAACCTCTTGATTCCGGATCTGTAAATAGTCTTCAACCTTGAGTAATATCTGCCCAATACCTGTCCACAATCTGTCCGTCCTGAATGACATGACATACCCCTGAGTTGGCTTCATTGTCGGATGTATGTCGCTCTTCCATGACTGCAAACACGGCATCAATCGAGATGCTGGCAGAAGCTCGTATGCCATTGGACAGGAGAAAGATGGAAGATTGGACGTCTCCAAAGCTTTAGTGCAAGCAGACGCGCGTCAGGACTATCCAAAAGTGGTTTAGGAATAGCTAAACCGTGACAATCCGACGAGGTTGGGCCGCCTATGGCACATCCTGAGCAGCCTTTGCGCCACAATGCAGCCAAGTAACATCCCAGCAAGCCGACGTGGCCATCGCCAGCAGCATTTATGAATTTTGGGAAACCAGCATGAGACAATTTCAAGTCATTGCAAAGCGAATTTACCGGCGAACCGACATAGAAATTCGGGAACCCGTGTAATGATATGCCAACGTGCCATAGCTAGACAACCCCGAGAGTCGGGGCTTGAACATGGACCAGCGATGCTAACTAGGATTAGAATCGACCGCAACCTGAATAGACTCGCCTGTCTCTCTTAAATCGAATCCGCTCGTGGTCTCGTGTTTTTACCTACCTCCCCTTCAGTCACATCACAGTCGCCCTTTGTCATTTCTAATCTTGGCCGCCACACCTCAAGCACGTCTACCGAACCAAGCAATGCGCCTTCCCTGCGTCCTAATCTTTTTCGCTTCTGCTACCCGTCCAGTAGGTGTTGGTGCTCATGTAGAGCCGTCGGACGTCGTCACCTCAGATGGTCGATTTGAGGTCCAGAGGCACTTGAGAGTCCAAGAGGGCGCACACGGCGACGATGTAGACGAGAGAACGAATAGCTTCAACTTTGGCGAAGAAATCATAAGCTCGGCAGAAAAACTTGAACCTACGACTTCAAACTCGATTCCTCGCGACAGTGCGCCAGACACCTTTAAACGTCTGGCAGAAAGCCTCCTTGAAGGTCCGTCAGATTCCACTATCAAGAGTACCTTAAAGCGTACGGCAGAAATGATGGCACCCGAGAACAGACCAGCCAAGTTTCGTGATACTGTGGAGAACGAATTTTTGACCGAAGCGAGAAATGCAAAATCGCTGAACATGAATACGAAAAAAGGTGAAGAGCCTCAAAAGCCATTTAGTTTCGTAATGGAAAAATTCAAAGAAGAAGATCTGGGCACGCTCTTTGAAGAAACAAACGAACACCTTGTTAAGATGAATAAAGACGACCCCAAGGGAGTATTCGAACTATATCAGCTTAACTTTGCAGAAGACAAGCTTTTCGAACAGCCGCAGCTGTCCTACTGGGTCCACTTCTTGGACTTATATAACGGTTACCACAAGCTGACTCGAACCTTGCTTTCCAGACTGCTAGATTCGTATTCCATGGATGATTTATTCACCGCTATACGCAAGGCCCCAAACAATGAAGTTGCGCTGCGAGTGGAAGACGAGATAAAAGAATTTTGGCTTTCGGAGCATCATACTCCAGATGATGCCTTCACTTTCTTCAACCTTGACAAGACCAAAGACACCCTTTTCGACGACCCTTCATTCCCCTTTTGGACAAGCTACTTTACTTACTATAATTCCAAGGTACCCGAGACATCCAAAGTATCACTGGATGTGGTACTGGAGAAATATTTACGCCCGTACTGGTACAATCTGTTGGAAAAGGAAAAAGATAAAATTCCTGCTGTCATCTTGCCTTTTGTTGAAGAAGAAGTGAAAAAAATGCTGCTGAAATTTTGGAATGGTAAGGGGGCAAGTAAGAAATTTGTGCAGTCCAACTTACGCGATGAATCAAACGTGAATACGGTGTATGGAAGCGCGCTACGACAAGCTGCACATGAATATCTTCAATCGCTTCCGATGGTATAGATCATTTGGAACAGGCACTCCGTAGGAGATCGCTTGTCCAGTGAAGCTGCTGATTCCGCGAATATCGCGCATAGTATTTGGAGATCGGAGAAGCTTTTGTGGCTCTTCTGCTTTCCAAGCTTTGACTAGTCATTATAGATACCTATCAATAACTTTAATACGTTTTCGACGTTATATGAGTCTCGTTGGTATATTTGTTTTGTAACAATCTCACGATTTCTTTTAATACATAAAGCTCTGGTGCGGTGAACAGTGGAGGGTGACCTAACTCATAATGGCTAGTCTTACAGATCCACATGTGGCAAGCTAAAGACAGGATATTGTCCAGGATACTTCGCTCGGCGCAATACTTTTGACAGGCAGTATCTCCTTGTTTATGCTGTTATCTGTAACAGGGTGAGCCCGTTACATCACATTGGAATTGATATTAAGTGCCAATGCGAATGTTAGCTTAGCTAGAAATAACTACAAAAATATATATCTTTATCAATAATAAATAGCAATATTACCTTTGAAGACATTAATGTCCGACTAAAGGTTGAATATGCCCTTTTCATTGACTGATATAGGCCATGATATCAGCATCGCCAAGTTCACTTTACATGAACATGACGAAGCGATGGAAGAGCTCACCGAGCTCGGTCTAAAGGCGCTCGACAAGCTGACTTGTGGAGGCGGCAGTGCTCTCAACAGTTTAGCCTGTTAAGACAACAGCGGCCGGGCCGACGCAGATGCTTAAATTTGGCTTCTTAAAATTGATTTTTCCAAGTACAAGGCAGTCGAAAGCGGATCCCTGATTAAGATGGTTCGTCGAACTCGACGATGCCATAGAGGCTCGTCTCATTAAAGACGAATTGATGGTCAAATTGGCTATGTCGAAATTAGTTGGACAAACCAAGCTTGGGCCTTAGGGCCCAAGCTGTATAGCCCGTACGTTTTACCAGCGTAGAAGTCTTCAAGGCGTGGCTCGAACATACGTATGATCCGCATTGCGTCGAATTGAGGAATCGAGATGAACTTCTAGATCTTAACGGGTAAGAGCGGCATACACGCTTACGCCCAACACCCACAATATTTCGTTAGTTGTATCGTGCTGAACCCCATCACATAACTTAAACAGGTTACTGTGTTCAATAAGGTCTTAAAGATGGTCCTGTCAAGACTTATTTGTCCCGCTTCGATATAGATATGCTCGATCAGGCTATATCTGCAGCAGATCAGGAGAATTTCAGCCTGTATTGGCTTATGATCACTTGGGATTTTATCTTCCACTGAGACGAAGGAGGGCAAATGTCCAGAATCGATATATATATCCTTATGTAGAGAGCGGGTTTCCAATATCACCTTGAGGATTAAGTGACTAAAGAAAGTCGTTTCGCGCCCAAGTTGATCGGGTAGGCCTACAATCATTTAGTGACTGGGTTCGAACAAACTTGTTCGACGCCAGTCACTAAATGATTGTAGGCTTAGATATGTTGAGCAGGAAGTTCTTCCAACGAGGATGACGGTGCGACTTGCAACTAGCGCATCCATAACAGTAAAGAAACGTGTAGTGGGAATTTACTACACGCTTGAAGGCAAAAAGTACGATAATGATTTCATCGTACTTGATCTAGATGACAACTTTGATGTCATCCCAGGATTACCGTGGCTCAGAGGGTACGATCCATGGGTCAGATGGCAGCTTCAAGCCGTGACGATGCCTGCCACTTGTTCATCAAAGGCCATCTGATGAAAGTCCCCCCCCGGGCCCCCCCACCCCCGAAAAGCCAAACCACCCCTTGAAGCGTTTACAAAAGTATGAATGTACTTCGAGTGAGTGCGATGGCCTCACTTGTGAAACGGTCGTTAGTACCACAACACAAGACCTCAGTGTGACATACAGCCAAACTGTGTAGCAAGCTGCTGCCGAAGAACAGTCAGCTCCGAAGGACCGCCATAGACCTACCAGATATGAATGCTTCCCTAGAGGAAAGCATTTGCAAAAATTCAAACCAGTTGCTTAGAAGTGGCAACGCGGTCATCTAAATAAACTGGAGAGGTGATCGCAGAGGATCTTACTATGGTTGCGATACCCAAGATAGAGGAAGTCGAGGAAATAAGGTCGGCTGCACAGGTCCGAAACTTCGACCGTAGATGGCGCAGCCCGTCAATTTAAAATAGTGTTTCACCCGTACTGGCGTGAACACTGTTATTAATAGCAAACTCCACGAATGGCAATTGCTTGCTCCATTCTTTGGGAGTTGCTACTATACGCAACACAGCCGCCACATCTCGATTGGCACGTTCTGTTTGGCCATCGGTCTGGGGATGATCGGCTGTGACATGTGGAGCTTGCTTCCCAGCAGCTCAAACACATGTCGCCAAGAACCTGACGTAAAACGCGGATCCCGGTCAGATACGGTGGACTCGAACATCCCGTGTAGTCGATACACGTGATCCAGAAACAAGAGGGCAGCCTCTTTTACTGAGATCTTGGTGCTACATGGTGCCAAATGCACCATCTTGCTCAGTCTGTCTACAAAGACGACGAGCCCCGTCCTGCCTTTATGGTCAGGCGGTAAGCCAAACATGAAGTCCAAACTGAACGACTTCCAACATTTACTTAAAAATCGGCATGGTCTTCCGTGGCGCACTACTAAAAGATGCAGGCTTATGCGCTGACACTCTTCGCAAGAGAGAATATAGTTGGCCACCCACCGATATAGGTGAGGACACCAAAATATCTCTGACACTCTAAATGTCTTTAACGGCCCAGATGCCCACTAGATGGCGCATCATGGCATTCGTGAAGTATCATCAGCTTGAGATCTGTGTCATGAGGGACATAGATTCTCAAGGGATCACAGGGTGACAGTTGATACCTTAGTAGGCCATCACTGTAACTAAAGCTATTAATCTTCGCTTTCAGATGCGACGGAAGGGTAACCTTTCGTCCACCAAAACGATCCAACAGCTGGAGACAATGTTCGTCCTGACTGTAGCACTCCTTTATATCGAAGGCCATTGAGCTCGTCACATAGTAGGCCTTCATGGCTGCCAATGTTGACGACTGAAGTTGTGCCTTCGCACGAGACACACTATCCTGGTGTCTTGCCTCGAAGTCTGGTCTGCGCGATAAAGCGTCAGCCAAGACATTCGACTTACCTGGCGTATATTTAACTTTGAAATTAAATTCAAAGAAGAATGTTAGCCATCTCGCCATCCTAGACGAGAAGTGCGGTGAATTTATAGCGGTCCGCAGTGATGCGTGATCCGTATATACCACAAAAGGTTCGGTTCCCAAGAGGTGCACCCGAAACTTTACAAAAGCATACTTAATTGAAAGTAGCTCCTTGTCATGCCCAAAATACTTCAGCTCGGCAGCTTTTAAAAGCCGAGACGGATACGAAATGACACGGTCAACGCCGTTGTCATCCTTCTGCATGAGCGCACTGCCGATTGCAAAATTGCTTGCATCGCAGACGACGCTAAAGGGCTTATCCACGTCTGGCAATGCCAAGACCGGTGCCTCTACAAGAGATTGCTTCACTGATGTGAACGCATCTTCTTCTCCTTTGACCAAGTCCATTCTGTATCCTTTTTCAAAAGGTCAGACAATGACTTAGTCTGCTCCGCATGATACTTGATGTACTTATTCAAGTAATTAGCGAGCCCAAGGAATTGGCGCAGATCCTTCACATAACGTGGGACTGTCCATTCCTTTACAGCCTTTACCTTTTCTGGGTCTGCTCGTACACCATGTGCACCTACGATGCAGCCCAGTATAGGTATCTCGGGGACCCCTATTACGCACTTTTGCAAGTTCACGTATAATTGGGCGTCACCCAGAGTCTGCAACACAGCGTCTAAATGACGCTTGTGCGACTCTATCGCGCTCAGACCGTCCTCCGCCCTACTATGCACGAATACATCGTCAAAGTAATGGGGCGCGTAGGCACGGTGCTGACGCATCACGTGAGCCATTACTCGGTTGAATGTTGCCGGAGCATTTTTCAACCCTTGTGGCATCACAAGCCACTCCCACAGCATACCGCTTGGGGTGCTTACTGCCGTTTTGGCTACATCGGTATCTATCATGAGAACCTGATAGTAGCCATCCTTCAGATCCAACGCGGAAAAGATAGTTGACTTTCCCATGGAATTCAACAAGACATCTTTCCGCGGGATCGGCGTTTGAGCTGGAATGGTGGCCGTGTTCAGTTTATTATAAGCATGAACGACGCGCCATTCACCTGTTGCTTTACGTACACAGAAGGTCAAACTGCAGTGAGGCGACTTGCTCTCACGCACATGTCCCGCCTTGGCTTTTTTGTCAAAGAACTCATCGATGTAATCGACTTGTTCCTTCGGCAACGGCCATTGCCTGGTCACACAATACTTGGTGCCAGGCTCCAGGTCAATCTCGTGCCTGAGCTCCTATCGGCCGGTAGGTGGCTCGGCACTTCTGCTGGAAACACGTCACGGTTGTAACACAGAACATCATAGAACGGGCTGTACTTCAAGGCATCCCAGCCTTGAGCAGCGAACCGTTTCTTCTTTTCGGTCTCCAAGACGATCTCGTCCATTGTGGATGACGAGCAACAAGTCCACCACGTTCTCTTCTGGATCTGGTGCGACTATCTCTTGAATCTTTTCTTCCTTTAGTTCGGACAGATAAAGATCACACGTCATCTTCTAGAGATTTACTATCTCCTCGGCAGATGCCAAGACAAGTTGGAGCACCTCAACTGAGGATGCCTCCGGCATTTTGTCTTCGACGAACTCGAACAACTCGTTCGGAGGTCCGTCCTCTTGGACCGAGACTGATCCAAGGGTCACTCGTTTCGACGTGACCTTGATCGTCTTAATACGTCTGGTGCTCGTTGTTCGAGTCACCACGACCTTTGACCTGGAAGAAAGTGTCGTTGCTGTATTAGCCAACGTACTTCTTCCAACCGCACCAGGCTCATGGTTCTGTGCCGGTTCTTGTGGCGCATGAATTCCTGTCAGCCCACCAT